TAATGAATTTCATATACAAAGTTGATGTGTGTCTTCCCTAAAAGAAGCAAAATGGAAGAGCTGAGGCTATATGTCAGTGGTACAGCACTCACTTAGCATGCAGGAGACTTTGGGTTTGATCTCCAGTGCCACAATACCCAAGATGATGTAAACGGAGACGCTGACTGTGTTAGATACCCACACCGTGGGGTTGCAGGTGGCTGGAGGTGGCATGAGGGCTCTCCCTCTGTCCTTCTGCATAGTGTCCCCAAACTCCCCACTACCTTACTCCTAGCCTGGAGGTACCTTTTGGCAACTAGTGAGCTCATGGTAGCAGTTGAGTAGAAATTGGTTCCAAATTTTAAAAAGAAAAGACCACACACAAAATGTATTGTGCCCATCTTAATAAGACCAGTTTCAGAAATACTCTAGAATTTTAAAATATTAAAGTTTTTCCCCCTAGGTGTTGGGCATGGTGGCCCACACTTATAATCCCAGTTTCTGGAAAGGTAGAGATTGGGGAAATTATGGCTTGAGATCAGTCTCAGCAGATAGTTAATAGGACCCCATGTCAGCAACTAAGACAAGCATGGTATTGTACACTTATAGTGCAAGCAATACGGGAAACAATAGGAGGATTATGGTCTGAGGATGGCCTCAGGCAAAAGTGTGTGATTCTATCCCCAAAAATAACTAAAGCAAGACAGGGTTAGGAGTGTGACTTAAGTTGTAGCACACCTGTCTAGCAAGTACAAAGCCCTGAGTTCAAAATAGCTTTTATCCTTAGTGGGAACAGATAATCAATCATTGACTTTAGGGAAGTTAGTCTAAATTGGAGGATGTGTGTGTGAGAGAGAGAGAGACAGAGAGAGACAGAGACACAGACAGAGACACAGACAGAGACACAGACACAGAGAGAGAAAAGACAGACACACGCAGAGAAATATTCTTTCAAATATACATTGGATGATGAAAAGAACCACTCCATGCAAAAGAAGTGTGGGATGAGCTGTCCCCTCAGTCTCTGGGTGTGAATTTGGAAGTGCAACCTTGAATTGCATGCAGTCTAGCTTGGTAATTTGAGAGCAGTCTTATGGAGTTTTGTCGCATGCAGTAGAAACTAGCAGGGCCCACACACTGCCCATCTAAGGCCTATGCATGTGCTCACTCTGCCATACAGCCCTTGGCTTGAAAGGAAATCCATCTGGGGACAGGGATTGATTTAATAATAGGTCTGTGACCTGTTGTGCAAGTTCTGGGGTGAAGATGCTGGAACACAATGCAATTCCAGAAAGCTGGGAATTTAAAGGAAAAACATCTTCCTCCCACCCCCAAATTGAGGTTTAGAGGTGAAAAACAAGAGTGGGTTTAAAATAATGATAACAAATTTGGCTAAAAGAATGATTGCTCTGGAGAGCTGTGTTTGAGCCATCCTTATGACGTTACCGATACCTAGCAAAACTGTGTGCATGTTGAGTCAGGCTCTGGTGGCTCCTACCTATAATCCTAGCTACTCAGGAGGCTGAGAGCTGAGGATTCTGCTTCAAAGTCAGCCTGGATGCACAAATCAAAGAAACTAACCAGTAAAAAACCAGAAGCTGGGCTGGGAAGGTGGCTCAGTGGTAGAGCACTTGCCTTGCATGCCTGAGGCCCTGGGTTTGATTCCTCAGCACCACATAAGCAAAAAGGAAAAAGCTGGAAGTGGCACTGTGGCTCAAGTGGTAGAGCACTAGCCTTGAGCTGAAGAGCTGAGGGACAGTGCCCAGGCCCAGAGTTCAGGCCCCACAACTGGACCCCCCCCCCAAAAAAAGCCAGAAGCTGTGGCTCAAGTGGTAGAGTACCAGCTGTGAGAAAAAAATCCAAGCAAGAGCATGGGGCCCTGAGTTAAGGAACCAGTATTGGCAATCTCTCTCTCTCTCTCTCTCTCTCTCTCTCTCTCTCTCTCTCTCTCTCTCACACACACACACACACACAATGGTGTCTAGGTGATCAGTGGAGGAGGCTCACAGAGAGCACCGACCGGTATATTTAGTCTATGTAATGGGCATAACCTTGGATTCGGTAGAAATTTCACAGCGCATGACAGCTGTGCAGTCCATCTGTTGGAGATTCAAACAAAATCAGTTTCACAAGCATTAGTTGGGAAAGATTTAGCTTGGCACAGAAAAAGTCCTGGGAGTTTGAATTGAGTGTAAGTTTAATATGTTGTAAGTTTGATGAAATAGTCCTCCTTCCTGGAATGAAAATATCCAGTCTCGCTACAAGCTGAGCCAGCCACGCTGGAAAAAGCATAACCAAGTCTCATTATTTTAACAAGGATAGTAAAAATTGGGTGGGTAGATTGCCAGGCAGTCAGCCAAGAAAAATCTAGAAATCATGTCATGGACATGGTTGAAAGACCTAGAGGTGACAAATGTACAGTTTAACCTGAGGAAGTGAAAACTAGGGAGGGATATGGTATAGTTTTCCAGATATTCAAAGGCTTCACTGACATAGGCTTTGTAGAATGTGCTTCTAAGGCCTGTGTCATTTGAATAAATGAATAAAGAGAGAGAGAGAGAGTGTGTGTGTGTGTGTATAATTGTATGTGTGTGTGCATTTTTTGGAGTGTGTTGTACATACATGTCATTTTCCAGGGAAGAGGAAAAAGACTTCATGGTGAAAAATCACAGGGAGAAGAGTAGGTCGATAACTGTTTAAAAGTGACTTGTAGCTGGGCACCAGTATGCAAGTTTATAATCCTAGCTACTCAGGAGGCTGAGATCTGAGGATTGCTGTTCAAGCCTGAGCAGGAAGACCCATGGGACTCTTATTTCCAATTCCAAAAGCTAAAAGTAGAGCTCTGGCTCAAGCTGTAGAGCCTTAGCCTTCAGCCCAAAGACACACTCAGGTGCAAGCCCCAGGGCAGGCATCAAAGAAAAAATAATGACAATAACTCTAGTGCCAAGTAAGGAACAACAGAGCATTTTACTAGATTAGGGTGCGTTCGTGAAGAGCTGAGAGAGCTTCTTTTAGCTTTAAGAACCAATGCTAGCATAGAGTCCTGAGGAGATTAAAAATGAAATGTGAAGGCTTGGGAGTCAGACAAATTATATCTTTTTTTTTTTGGAGCAAGTTATATCTGTGCTATTTAGCTGTGCAACATTAGGCAAAATACCTACCCTCTATAAGTATTCATCTTTTCCTGTTAAAATAGTTTTTTTTTAAACAAAAACACTTTATGCTAAAAATGTTCCTTTTGGATAGGAGGGAAAAATAGGGAAAAGCATGAGAGAAGGGGCAACATTGTCCAAAAAGCAATGTACATAAGTCATTACCTGATTTATGTAACTGGTAACTGTACCCTCTCTGTACATCACCTTTATGACAATATTTTTTAAATGTTATCCTTTTGGGAATTAAATGAGTTATTAAGCATAAAAGCGTAAAGTGGGCCCTGGGGAGATGTAACCAACTCTGGGAATAGTGACCTCATAGTAACAGAGAGAGAGTTGAAAGATCACTGTAAGGCAACCCTCAGGAAGTCTGAGAAATTGACTTGGTCCACAACCATCAGAGACAGTGTGTGTGTGTAGCAGAAAGAAAGTTTCTTCAGGCAGAGTTTCAAGCTCCCATCTCTCCACTGGGTCAACTTACTTCACCTTTCTGAGCTGCTTTACCTGTCTCCTGGGAAGGTGGACTAGCACTCAGAAAGCCACTGGTATTCTTCTCTGTGGCTCCTCCTGACAGTGCAGAGAGGCAGATGTAGAAGAAGAAACAAGATTCAGAATGTTGGTTTGTCCAAAGGGCTGGGCATGTAGCTCTATAGCAGCTCACTTGCCTAGCATGCGCAAGGCTCTGGGTTCAGGCCCTAGCAAACTGCTGTTGACTCAGTCCTTTTGACTTCAAGGTCCATCATCTTTGATGGATCTTGTGGTTGCTGTTGTTCTACTAGCTTCAAATTGTTGTAGAGTAGGGTTTTAATTTTACATAGCCACTTATGCATACACTGCACTCTGATCAGTGTCACCCTTCCCCTGCCCCATCTATTCCATCCCTCTCTGTCTCTTCAAGGTTCTTAGTTCCATAGTCTCATATGTATGTCGAAGGTTTTTCCTTTTTCTCTTCTAAAACATGATTGAAGCTTTCCAAGTATCTACTGGCATGCAGGTAGTAAGTGTAATGTTTCCATAGGTTACTGCACTGCCTACATTGGGTCTGAATGGAGATGGCAGGCCCTCCATGGTCTCTTCAGAATAGCCACAGGATGAACCTTCCCTGTGGAAGGTCATTCTTGACTGGACTTTGGCTCTCTCTGATACCTGGCTTTGAGGTGGGGGGATGTACAAGGCACAATTGGGGGAGGAATAGATGTCTTTCTAGATAGTCACATCTGCTCTGTCCTTCATCATCTGTTTTGGCACGAACATTGTATACCTTCAATACTGAACAATGTGGTACCAATACTGAACAATGTGGTATACAGTTGCTGTGCATCTTGGATACAATTCATTGCTAGATCCCCGGAGCTCATGGCTGGTGGTCCTCAGGTCTTTCTCAGTCTGTAGACTTGTCTTGTTGGTTTGCACAATCTTATTCTTAAACTTTTATTTTATTGTAAAGATGCTGTACAGAAGGGTTACAGTTACATGAGTAATGAGTACATTTCCTATTGAGCATTGCTACCCCCTCCTTTGTTTTTGCAGTCTTTTAAAAGCACATTCCTTGCAGACATTTAGATCATGAGTTTTCATGTAAAAACATATCATTTAAGATGTTTGGCTTCTCTTAAGGGATCAGACAGTTTGCAATCATGACCTCTTGCCCTTCTAAACAACAGTCTTCCAGCACCATGTAATAGCTGTTCCCTTCAGATGGGGGCCATGGGGCCCCCATCCATGTCACCCCCTTTCCTTCTTCTGTCAGTTATTTTAAGTTAAAATGTAGCACTCATGCATGGTCAAGGTTAATAATAAATGCATCTGGGGGACAGCCTTGCTGACTTGTTGTCTCTGATGATGTTTTCTTTCCCTCCTCCCCAGTCTGTGACTGCAACGGGAAGTCCAAGCAATGCATCTTCGAGCAGGGGCTTCACCGACAGACAGGCAATGGCTTCCGTTGCCTCAACTGCCAGGACAACACAGATGGTGTTCACTGTGAGAGGTGCAGGAAGGGCTTCTACCGACACCGGGACAGAGACCGCTGCCTGCCCTGCAACTGTCACGCCAAAGGTAGTGGAAAGACGAGGGAAGGAAGAGGGAGATGGAGAAGAGAGGAGGAAGGAGGAGAGAAGCCATATGCAGGGGAGGAGGGGAAAAGAAGAGGAGGAAAAAGAATGAAAGAGAAAAAGAGGATCAAAAGGGACATGTTCAGCCTTGGAAACAAACAGTTGGACACTAGACATTGGTCTTTTGAGCAACTTAAATCTCCAAGACAGTGTGTTTCTCTTAAATTGGCATTGGTGGTAGCTGCTGCGTAATAAGATCTACTGGCTTGAATTAGAGTACTGAGAGTCACTTTTTTTTTTTTTTTGTACCAAGGATTGAACCCAAAGCCTTGTGCATGCTGGTCAAGTATTCTATTATCATGCTACATTCCTATCTCTTTACTATCACCACCATACCCAGCAGAGTCATATTATTAAAATCCAGGTAAATCCAGGTAAATAATAGTCTTTGCCTTGGTTATGAAGGAAGCTTTTTCTCTTCCAAATATAGCTCCTCAAATCCATAGCTGTCCCTGTGAGTAACCTTTTGGGGAGGGGAAGAAGGGATTAGAAAGATATTTCTGGTCTAGCAAGATTCTCTCAGTATGAAGTCGTAACAAAACAGACAAGTAAGAAGAGTAGAGCGTGCACAGTTGTTAACAAGGGAAGATAAAATAACCCATGGGAATAACTTATAGCTATACAGTCTCCTATAGCAACTCACAATAGTGAGTTATAGAAAGCTAGCTCTTCTTTTAAGTGGCTTGACTGGTACCTATAGTCCTAGAACTATAGAGCTTGTCGAGACAGAGAACATGCTGTATTTACAGTTCTGTAAGTAAGCTGAGATTGTTTTGAGAACCTTATTCTATTATCTTCCCCTCCCCCAAGTGATAGGAAAGTTCATTAGGAAAGAAATATGGCAAAGAAAGTAGATTATATGGCATGATGCCATCGCAAGATGGCACTTTAGTTTATCTTCAGCCATCTCCAGGGTATAGTGTGAGTGTTAGGTTTTAAGTAGAGAAAGAGTTAGGGGCAGGGGACAAAGGCATGCATGACTTGTGTCCCAGTTACAGGTGTGGGCTGGCTGACAGTCATCTCAGTTATGGTTCTCTCAGGTTCTAGAGAAGTTGTTATCACTGTGATTACTTTAGGGGAGCAATCTGGTTCCATGAGATTCAGTCTGATCATTATTGGTTATTCTGGTCATTTGAGGTGATCTGTCCTGCAAGGCTCTGCTGTTCTCTACGGGTAGTTTTAGTTCTTGTGAGATTCAGCTCCTGGCTCTGGAAACTGCTGCTGAGCAAAGAAACTGGATAAGCAAGCATCAGCCAGGCTGCTTTCTGTGTGCAATTTCAGGCTAGCCCAGCAATGGGGAATCTCGAGAGCTCTTTTGAGGAAAGGAAAGGTGTTGGAAGGCCTTGTGAGCAGCCTGGCAGGATGTGGTGATTTAGCTCTGACATGGTGGTGAATGTGTTACTCAGCAGGCCCTTTTGCTAGGTACTTTTCATTTTGTATTTTTTTTTTTTTTTTGCCAGTACTGGGAATTAAACCCAGGACCTCAAGCTTCATCACTGATTCATTAACAGTAACCTTCTGAAGAAGGTATTATTATTATTTTATTCCATTTTACAAATGAGGAGAGGCTTAGGGAGAAAAAGAAAGTTTGTTCAAGGTTGGGCAGATGCTCTCACCTCTTGTTGCTCCGTATTTGCATCATTGTATCATGTAGTGACAGAATGATGTTTTTTGTGAAGCACATGGTAGATAGCTTAGTGAGTTGTAGTTCCTCATCATAGTTTCTCTCTCTGTCTCTTTCTCTCTCTCTCTCTCTCTCCTTTTCTTTTGGTGCTGGTACAAGAGCTTGAACTCAGGACCTGGGCGCTACCCCTTAGCTTTTTTGCTCATGGCTGGTGTTCTACCATGTGAGCCACAGCCCTACTTCGATTTTTGGTAGTTAATTAGAAATAAGACTCTCTTTTCTAGCCTGGCTGGATTTGAACCTTGATCCTCAGATCTCAGCCTTCTGAGTAGCTTGGATTATAGGCTTGAGCCACCATAACCTGACTATTTTTTTTGCTCTATTAGAGTGAAGGTCAAGGTTTCAGCCTCCTGGAATTCTGTGAATTATAGTCTGGTATGGAAGAAACCACATAGGTCAGATATATGGTCTAAAACTATTTATTAACTTATTACCATCTTCCAATTGGTTGTGGAAATATACCTTCTTTTTTCTTTCTCACTTTCTTGTGCCCATACTAAGGCTTGAACTCAGGGCCTCTCCCTTCTAGATTGACTTTTTCAGCTCACAGCTGGTATTCTGCCACTTGAGCCACATCTCCAGTTCTGGCTTTTGGTTAATTGCAAAGAAGAATCCCAAGGACTTACCTGCCTGGACTGGCTTTGTGAACCACAATCAGCACATCTCAACCTCCTGGGTAGCTAGGATTATAGGCCACTGGCACTTGGCATTGTTTTTGAGATGGCATATCATTTGGCATTGTTTTTGAGATATCATATGTAGCCTGGGCTAGCCTAGAATGACTTAGAATCCTCCTTCCTCAGCCTCCTAAGTTCTGGATTACATGCCTCACCACCATACTCAGCTGGCATTTAATGTTTTAAAACACTTTTTAGAAACATTTTTAAACAATAGGGCAAACTGACCTAGAAATATACAGCCTAAAGTCTCACAGCAAAGAGCTAAAGTTGTTACCTAGATCTTCTTCCTGAGAACAGCATCTTCCTGTTCCCTTCACATAAGAGTGCTGTCCTTTATCCCCAAAGGCAAACAATGAGGTGTGCACGGAAGCATGCTAACATCCTGGCTTTGTAGAAACATTGTACATGCTGTGCGGGCCTCAGTCCTCCATACAGCCTGAAGGCTGTATGTGTGAACACACCTCATCCCCCTGTGGGAGGGAAGAAGAAAAACTGAAGCTTCAGAGTCCACCTATTCAGGTTTCAAGACACTTCAGTGGCAGAGTCACACCCCCTGGCCATGCTGTCCTGAGCGACACATCGGCCACACAAGTCATTAAACCAGCAGCACGCATTAACTTCCTTGGTGAACATTCAGTCTCCAATCAGCTACAAGGTAATTTTCACTTTCAGGGAGTAGCTAGAGGGAATTTGTAAGATAGCACTTTCCAACGCAGAAAAACATATCTTGCCACCAAATAGTCTCAGTCTATGAAAGGCAAATGAAGTCAACAGTGTTAATAGCTCCCAAAGTGCTCAGAGATTCTGGACGTTAATTTCTTATAGATTTAACAGCAAGGGCTTATTTTTAGGCAATGAGTGTATAGTCTCAGCCACAAGGCTGAATTGTCTTCATTTTAACCACCAGTTTAAGCCCTGCTAGCCTTAGAAATTCACTGTGTTTTCCTGTGTGTTTTGAACCCTCGTGACACCCAAATTCTTGAGTTCTAAGGGGACACCTTCACCGGAGAGAGGAATGTTCAGTTTATAACAGTTGAGCTTGAACATACTTTTAAATGCAAGTGAATATATGTATATTCTTACATATGTTTATTTACATGATCTCAAAAGGAAACACATTCTTGCTTTCAATTTGGAATCTTTTGTTTCCTTCAGTGTGGAGGATTGAACTCAGAGCTCAGGATTGCTAGGCAAGCCCTCTACCACTTGAGTCACACTTGCAGGTCTTTTCATTTTAATTTTTCATATACGTTTTCACAGTTTTGCCCGGGTTAGTCTCCAAATACAATCACCTTTGCCTCCTGAGTAGCTGGGATTACACTACTAGCTACTGCCACATACTAAATACTGCCAGAGGATAAATATTACTAAATATAAACTATTATAAAACTTTACCAAGTCCTAAAAGTTATGTGGACTAAATCTACCTAAATGTATGTAGATTAAACTTTCAAAGTACTTACTACAAACTTGAACCAGGTAGCAAGCTGTTGTTCATTTATTCTTTAGATCTGTGAGTTCACAATCCCTAAGGCTACCTCATGATGTAGGAGTTGGAACAGGTGCTTTTAGTCAAGTGGGGCACTTTAAAGATACAGTTTTAAAGGGTGCTAGTAGCTCACTCCTGTAATCCTACCTACTCAGGAAGCTGAGATCTAAGGACTGCAGTTTGAAGCCAGCCCAGACAGAAAAGTGATAGAGTGCTAGCCTTGAGCAAAAGAGTTCAGGGACAGCACCCAGGCCCTGAGTTCAAGCCCACAACCAACAAAAACAAAGAAGAAAAAAGATCTAGTGATACTTCGTTGGTTATGTAAAAACATAACAATGAATATTTGTTGAATGACTGAAAAAGCGAATGATGAACTGTTTTAAATCCAGTGATACTATTTTGGAAGTGTTGGAATGTGAATCAGTTAGTTGAGTTTGCATTCAGAGTCTATGAACATTTCCATGCTGTCTTTGTAAAGCTTGCAGGGGCCTTAGAGATAATGTATTAGCACAATGAAGACATACTTCTAATATATTAGTGTAGTCTAAACTATCTACTATGAATTAGGCACACTGTGTGTGTCAGGCCTGTAAGGTATGTGTTGCTACACTCATTTAAAAGAGGTGATTACTAAATGAGTTGCTCAAGGGCACGTGGCCATCAACAACTGAGCTCTCCTCCATTCACCAGCTACCTTTACAGAAGTGTCCTGTAGATAGCATTCTGTGAATCACTGTGCCTCTCAAAATAACAATCAACATTCCTGCAAGTACTATCTGAGAATATTAGCATTAAAAAGGTCAGCAAGCTTCTTGCTTACTAGATATATTACATTAAACATTTTCTTTTTTTTTTTTTTACTGTAAAACTGTTTAATTCTAAACATTAAACATTTTCTACCAGAGTTTGTAATACCATTTCTCAAACTCTTATGAAACATTGGGTATTTGGGCTGGGCATTGATGGCTTATGTGTTCATCCCAGCCTCTCAGAAGGCTGAGACTTAATGAATTTCTTTTAAAAACCAGTGAGCTATATGCTTCTTAGTGACAAAGAAGAACTCATTTTTATGAGTAGTTTCCTGGCTTTTCCATGAATTAGAACTCCTCAGTTGTTAAAATGGTGTGGTGTATGCAGATAATCCAAGCCACTCAGGAAGTAGAGACAGGAGAATCAAGGCCAGAAGCCAGCCTTGGCAAAGATGTGAAGACTCTCTTTGAAAACAAACTAAAAGCAAAAGGACTGGAAAAGCATAGTTCAAATGGTAGATATCTTGCCTAGCAAGTACAAGGCCCCGAGTTCAATCCCCAGTACTGCCAAAACAAAACAATATAAACAAACCAACAAAAAATTCCCTCCTGGGTAGAAGAACCCTCCAATGATGGGAGCAGTGGTGGGTATTACTCAGTGCCATGAGGTGGCAGTTGCTTCTCAATGCCTTGTTAACTCCTTTTCCCTTTCCCCTACTTTGTGGGTTACAGGTTCTCTCAGCGTTCAATGTGACAACTCTGGACAGTGCAGCTGTAAGCCAGGTGTGACAGGAGAGCGATGTGACCGGTGTCTGCCAGGCTTCCACACACTCACGGATGCTGGATGCACCCCAGACCAGAACCTTCTGTGAGCACCCACCCCCACCATTGCTGTTGATCTTGGTTATTGGTGACCTTCACTTACTGCACTTAGTGCTTTGTGTGGGTTCTTAAATGTAACCCTCACACTATACTCATTATACTCTTTTTTTTTTTGGACTGGGCTACAGTTTGAACTCAGGACATCAAGCTCAAGCTCTATACTCCAGTTCTTTTGTTTTTAGTTATGTTCAGTTAGGTTCAGATGCTTTTTAATCCAGGGCTAGCCTTGGATCACCATCTTCCTACCTATTTCCCTGGCACAGCTGGATCATAGGCTGGGCTGTCTTTGAACCTTAGCCTTCCCAATCAATAGCTCTTAAGTCGCTGGAATTACAGCTATTCCCAGCTCTGTATTCATTTAATTAATGTGAAGTTGTCCAATATTACTTGTGATGGGGAGCCCACTTTGGATACCCAAAGTTTTGGCTCCTGAACCTTTGTTCTTTACCCTGATGGTTTCCTCCCTTACAAAACTAGACTCTCTTACAAAACATCCTTCCTCAGGATCCACAAGGCCACAAGGAGCTTGGCCAACATAGAACTTTTTTGTGCATTATCTTCATCTCCATTAGTTTAAAACATCTTCCATTATCTTTCCTCAAACTCTTTTGTGGAGAAAGATGGCAATACATTATAAATCACATCATCAATCTGCAGAGATGCAGAACCAAAGGTAAGTAAAGAATGATCTAGAAGGCTATTGATAGGGGAATTGCTGAGACTAAGAAAAAGCCTAAAGAAACACCCTGGACTTTAATCTGCTCTTAGTGACTTGCTTTTAGTTGACTCTGTAAATCAGCCATTTCAGAGTTATAGACGACACCTGTGAGATGTAGGTCATGAGGGTAATAACTGACAAATACTGGGCCACTGATTACTTCCTAACCTCCAATCAGCTGTCCCCATAACTCAGCCCGCAAATCCCCAACTCCCTGAAAGCCTCTGTTCCCATGTTCTGGGAGGTAGATTTGACACATACTCTTTCATTCCCATACATTACATGGCTGCCTCATGAATAAACTCTTGCTCTTTTGCAAAACTCCATGTTATAATTCTAGTTATCTCCATGACTACACACACTGCACAGCAGACATCTGGGCCGGTTGCAGTAACAATCCAGCATGCCTGCTACGAGCAAGTCCAGATGGACCTTTGGCCATCCTTGCTAGTGGAAGAGCCTGTGGGTAATTCTAAAAAGCCTGGACCACTTGTCCCAGGCACTGCCCCTGGAACTTTCCCTGGCTTGGCACCTCTAATCTTTGGTGCAAAAATGCACATTTGCAATAGGGAAATGGTACCTGGTTTAAGTGCCATGATGTCTTATTTGGTGTGTAACTTTGATACAAGTGTCTCTTTCTCTCTTTCCCCTCCCCCTCTTTCTCCCACTTCCTTTTGTGGTTGTTGCTGCTTGTTTTTAGTTTGTTTGTGTTGAGAGAAGGCTTTGCTATGTAGCCCAGATGGTTCCAAACTAGTGAACCTCCTGCCTCAACTCTCTTAGCGCTAGGATTACAGGTATACACCATCAGATATATCTGGCTGGCAAGTTCCCCATTCTCCTTCCCTCTGGTTTGGCCTTCATTGTAAGGGACCTGATTCAGATATTCCATATCCAAGGAAAGGATTAGGGAAGCTCTGCTTATAGGAGATCTCTTGGCTGCCTTTGGTTTCTGAGGTCTGCTTCTAGCGGCCGTGCATGTGAAATAGCTAGGTACTTCTGAGCAATTGTGTTGAAATGCTGAAGCAATGAGAAATGTCCATTTCATCTCACACGGAGCCCACTGGTGGCGTTCTCCAAAACTGGTAGACTTTAAACCATAAAATCAAAGAAAGGAAAAAGGATGATTTTTTTATTTTTGATACTATAACATGTTCATAATATTCTTTAGACTCTTGGGAAAACTGGCGTGAAAATAGGCCTTCTCCCTTGCCTGAGTTTTCAGTCTTTGCCCAGATGGGCACACATGTCCTGTCCTAGTTAATGGTGGTTTGAGTTCCCTTTTATCTGGGCCAGTGTATAGGTTGTTCTGTTCTATCATTGCCTAATCCTTTTAGATTTTATCTTTGGAAATGCTCCCTTAAGCTCAAATCCCTTTGCAATCCTCCCCCTTTTTTTGTACTGGTCCTGGGACTTGAACTCAGGGCCTGGGCACTGACCCTGAGCTTCTTTTACTCAAGGCTAGCACTCTATCTCTTGAGCAACAGTGCTACTTCTGCCTTTTTCTGAGTAGTAGTAGATAAGAGTCTTACAAATGTTCCTCCCTGGGTTGGCTTTGAACCACAATCCTCAGATCTCAGCCTGCTGAGTACTTAGGATTACAGGCGTGAGCCACCAGCACCCAGTTCTTTTGCAATACCTTTAAACCACATTATCACTGTTGGGCTCCTGGCCCTCCAAGAGCTCCCATTCCCATGAAAATGAGATGAGAACTTCGAAGGACAGGGCCCTATGATCCTTCTGCTCACTCTACCCAGAGCTGAGGCTCCATTTGCTCCTGTACTTATAGTTCCCATACTCCAGCCACCGTAGCCTGCCTTCTTCAAAGGATGAAAGCATGTGTGATCTTGGTCACACTGCAATGTAGGGCTTTGTGGGGCTCTACTTCACCCCATCGTCTCCTCCCAGGGCCTGAACTTGCCAGTCCCCAGGCTTCTATCTTCTGACTCTTCTGTTTTATTTTGGAATTCTTATTTTTCTCACCATTTCTTTATTCCTTCCACTAGAATGTGAGTCCTACCACATCATCACTGCCTGATCCTAAGTACCTAGGGTAGGAAGAAGCACCACAGGCTTCACAACTCTACTGCAGTCAGTACTGGGTTTTACTTACATTGCTATTCACGTATCTGCTCCACCTCATGACTCCAGAATAGGGCTGATTCCTACTTAGTATCCTCTTAGTATCCCTACTTCTTAGCATATAATAGACCAACCATTTCCAGGAATTCCATTCCTATGAACACATCCATGAACTTACGTATCTGTTAAAAAAAAAAAAACATGTATATGGCCAGGTGCCTATGGCTCATATCTATAATCCTAGCTACCCAGGAGACTGAGATCTGAGAATTGAAGTTCAAGTCAGCCCATGCAGAAAAAGATAGTGAGACTCCTATCTTCAATTAACCAGCAAAAAGTCAGAAATGGAGCTGTGGCTCAAGTGGTAGAGTACTAGCCTTGAACAAAAACAGCTCAGGGACAGAATCTAGGAACTCTGAATTCAAGCCCCAGGACTGGCATAAACTGGATAATATAACTTGTATGTTAATGTTCCTAGAAGTGTTACTCATACTAGCTAAAAACTAGAAACAACCCCCATATCTATCAACTGAGAAATAGGTAAATAAAATAAACTATATCCAATATAGTACTAGGTTTTAGTCAGCCATGAAAACCATACATGGCATAAGATGGTTAGACTTTGGAAACAATGTGCTAAATGAAAGCAGTCAATCATTCATAAAATGTCCAGAACACACAATCTATAGGCAGAACATACATTAGTGGCTGCATAAAACTGCAGGGGGTGGTGGTGGCTGGGGACTGAAGGGAGGAAATGAAACGGCCGCTGAAGAATACAGAGTTTCTTCTGGGAGAGATGAAAACATCTTAGCTAACTCTAAACCCTTTGACATGTGTACCCTCTCTGGGTGGGTTTCATGGCACAGGAATTCTTTCTTTCTTTCCTTCTTTCTTTGGGGCCTAAACTTCTTGTGCTCAAGGCTAGCACTCTACCACTTGAGCCACAGCGCCACTTCCGGCTTTTTCTGTTTATGTGGTACTGAGGAATCGAACCCAGGGCTTCATGCATGCTAGGCAAGCGCTCTACCCCTAAGCTACATTCCCAGCCCTAGGGATTATTTCTAACAATGTTATGACCAAAAGAAAGAACTGAACAAACGGACATAACAGGTAGATGGAATTGATCCTAATAAAAACAAACATCATTGACTTTATAGAGAAAAGTAAGTTCAATCTATTTTTTTGTGAAAAGTGAACCAAACAGTCAATCAAATTAAGCCATTTAGTGATGGGCTTGGTTTAGATCCTGGTGCAGCCCTCCGGTGAGAGGGTTTGGCTCCTTGGAGTAGAGATCAGCATGAATGGGGGAGAGGGGGGTTCCCTCCTTGAAAAGGACTTGGGGGTGTGGTGACGCTTGCTCAGGAGCAGTTAATCTTTATGTGTACACTGTGAAGCGTCGGCAAACCAATCCCTAATTTCCTTTTCTTCTTTCCCAGGAACCGCAAGTGTGACTGTGACCCGGCTGGCATTGCGGGGCCCTGTGATTCCGGCCACTGTGTCTGCAAACCAGCTGTCACTGGAGAGCGCTGTGACAGGTCTGTGTGAGCCAGGTCCCCACAGAGAGAGGGGACAGTCCCTTAGCAGCCAGATTCACCCTCTGAGTGCAGTTATAGAAAAGATATGGAGAAAATGTTGTGGACTTTGCCCTCTGTTCTCAAAAATTAGGCTTTAAAAAAAATATGACAACCTACCTGCCTGCAATTCACTGGAACCCATATTCTACTCTGGGTCCCTCTCTGTGTTTTTACTGGGACAGTGGCAGAGGGCCTCATTGCCAGGGGGCCGTCACTTCCAGTGTCTGGATACAAGGTGGTACGTGATGTTGTGATCACATGACTCTAGCTGGGCTTGGGACACGCTTGGCCTAGTTAAATGGGAAAACCTTGCAACAGAGACTGTCACAAAGCATAGCCATATATAACCATTGTGTACTGGGAAGGAACTGCCCCAGGGATGGGATGGTGGTTACAGGCGCACACATGAAGCAGGGCGCGGGACAATGACGTAAGAGCCCTTTGGGCCCAAACCACGTTGGGGCAGGTGCAGGAGCACAGAGCCGTCCACCTTCAGTGGAGGTAGATTGTGCTCAGACTAAACTCTTCCCACCCTGAGGTGCCCTGGGAAGAGGTGGCCCCAGAGGTAAAGCTTCCTCCTCATTTCCTTCAAAGCAAGAATGCAGCTCTTTGGCACCCTGCCAATCACTTCTACCTGGGTGGAGGAAGTGCCACATACATTCCTAGCTTGTGTTTTTCAGGGGGTTCTTTGCTGCTGAGGTGAGAAAGCACTAGGTTAAAAAGACAGAGGTCACTTTTCTAAAGTCTTTTTTTTTTTCCATTACAATATGTGGCACAGAAATAGAAAGCTCCATAAAACAAACATTTGCATCCCCACCAACAGGAAGTAGACTTCTGTTAGGCCTTCCTATGAATATTAGTGCTTCTCAGCAGTGACCATTGGTATAGCTTTCATAGTATTCATTTTCTTTTCTCTCCTTTCTTTTTCTTTTCTTTTCTTTTTTCTCCTTGCTTCCTTCCTTCTTCCTTCCTTCCATCCTTCTTTCCTTCCTTCTTCCGTCCTTCCTTCCTTCCTTCTTTCCTTCCTTCTTCCGTCCTTCCTTCCTTCCTTCCTTCTTTCCTTCCTTCCTTCCTTCTTTCCTTCCTTCCCTCCCCTCCCTCTCTCTCTTTCTATTTCTTTCTTCTGTGCCAGTAGTGGGGTTTGAACTCAGATCCTTGTGCTGTCACTTGTGCTGTCACAAGGCTGGAGTTCTACCAATAGAGTTACATTTCCACCTTTTTGCTCATTAACTGAAGCTAAGCGTCTCATGGGTTGTTTTTTTTTCTCATGGTGATTCTCAGATCTCAGCCTCCTGAGTAGCTCGGGTTATGGGAGTGAGCCATCAACACATGGCATGACAGCCATCGCCTTGTCTTTCTTTATAACTTGGCATCTTAGTGCATGGCTAAGCACCAGCATTCACTTTTGCTAAATCCCTACCCTCCCTTATCCTTTCCTGTCCCTGAGTATGAGGCTTGCTTCAGCTCCTCACCACACATGGCCTCAGATAAGTTACTTTTTTGGGGAAAAGGGAATGGAGCCATACTGGGCTTTCAAATGAAACCTATCCTCACCAGGCAAGCAATCTGCCCCCTTTTGCCTCCAACCCGTTTTTGCTCTTTGCTTTTTTTCCCCCCTGCTTTCAGATAAGAGCTGCCATCCATGCTTCACTCTGTGCATCTCAAGTAGTTGGATTACAGTCATGAGCCACTAAGACAAGTTTTTTTAACCTCTCTGGGTCAACTAATCTAAGAAAAGTGGAATTTACAATCTGGATTTCATAGGATTACAAGGAGGATTAAATGGAGACTATATATCTAAGGTGCCCAGCACAAGAGCTAAGTTAATGATCACTGAAACTAGAAGTATTTCATATAGAAGAAGGTAGTTATGTTGAGAAGAGTTAAAAAAAAACAAGTCCTCCCCAGATTCCCCTCTACTTGCTTACCATTTGGCTCCCATTAAACTCGTGTTCCGGGCCAGGGCTTCTCTGATCTCTGTCCTTGGTCTGCCCTTCTCCTTCATCCATAACAGAGGCTGTGTTGATCACCAACGCAAAGTGATCCACGCCTCACTGAGGGGAGAAGGTGGATGTTGCTTACAACCTCACTGCACGATCTGGTGCATGGGGCTGTCAGAGGTGAAGGCTGATGTGAAACTTGCCATTTCCCTCCTCAGGGGACTCCTAGGTCAAGGGGGAAAAGAGGTAGAAAGAGGTGGAACAAGTCATTCTATTTTCTATACAGAATAAGAAATAAGTCAGTCATAGTATTGCCCTGATTTCTAAAATGCCGCTGCAGGTGTAAACCAGGTTATTACCATCTGGACAGAGGAAATCCTGAGGGCTGTACCCAGTGTTTCTGCTACGGGCATTCAGGCAGCTGCCGTAGCTCTGTAGACTTCAGTGTTCATAAGATCACCTCTAACTTCCAAGAAGGTAAAGTACTCTGCCCACAAAGTTTTGGTTTTTCTTTTTTTTAATGTTGTGCAGGGATGCGTGCTTATAGACAATTACCTCCACATTCATAGAAGGGCTTGTCAAGTCATCTTTCTCAGTTCTCTTATAAGTTTTTAAATTATTCCATCGTCATCATCATCATCATCATCATCGGGGGGGTGGTGGAGGGGTGTGGGTGTGGGTGTGTCACTGGGTTTGAATTCAGGGTCTTGCTAGGCAGGTGCTCTATCACTTAGCTAAGACTCTATCCCTTTTGTCTTTAGTTGTTTTTCAGGCAGGGTCTGGTGTTTTTGCCCAAGGCAGCTTCAGACCTTGATCTTCCTATTTACCCCTCCCATGTAACTCAGACCACAGATGCACACTACCTGGCTTATTGTCTGAGATGATAGCTCACTAATATTTGCCTGGGCTGGCCTCAGACAGTGATCCTCTGCAGTAAGTGGGATTATAGCCATGATCCACTGTGGTTGGTGCTATTTATAGTTTTAGTGTATATTGTATTGTCAAGGTATACCTTGACATCGTATATATATATATATATATATATATATATATATATATACACCTGAACAGTTCACTTAGCATGTGAACAGCTTAAAAGAGAGTAGTTGTTGTTGGTTTTTTTAATATTCCTAGATTTCCCACAATGTTGATTTCAAAACCAACAAAAGTCATTTGGACTGGGGACTTTATAAAAGCTTCCTGGGATCCACACTTGCAAATAACACTGCTTTGACATACTAAAGTCACTTAATATAGACTGCCATGCTACAGAACAATATAAAATATTGGGAATTCTTATTTCAATAATTCCCAGTCTGTTTCTAGGCTCTCTCACCTAAGTCCAGACCCTGTTCATGTAACCATAATAAAAATACAAATTATAGACAGATAAACTAAATGCCCTCTTGTTGTAAGCGTCATATCCAAAGCTAGGTCAAAGCAGTTTAATTTGAAGTGAGGCAGGTGAAGTTCTGTAGCTAAGACCAGAGTTTCTGAACACGGTAAAGGAGTATGGAAGCATGGAGACATCTTTCTATGCATCATTGGGACATTGTTGGCTAGTAAGTCATGTCTGGGTAAAGTCAGAGGGTGATAAGAGCTGGTCTCATATGGAGGGATCATTTTTTGTGTCCTAGATGTTGATGGATGGAAGGCTGTCCAAAAAAACGGGTCTCCTGCAAAGCTCCATTGGTCACATCGCCATCGAGATGTGTTTAGTTCAGCCCGACACTCAGACCCTGTTTATTTTGTGGCTCCAGGTATGTGAGAAAAAAAATTGTTTTTTAATTTATCTTGTTTCTCTTCATCCGGTAAATAAGAGATAATGCTTCTTATCAAAAGCCCACTTTAAGCAACCAGAAAGCCAGGATAGAAAAATTGATTTAGAAAACGTGGAGCCCCATGTCAGGGGGTGTTGAGAGCAGAGTCATCTCCAGAGATAGCTGGGACTGAAGCCTCGTTCACTGCAGCCACACAGCACAGCAGTGTGGGGAAGAGCTGGACAAGACTCTGGCACAGGTGCTAACATGCATCAAGTGGGAAGTTTGTAGGTTTCCTGACAGCTCAAGAGATCAAATGTGCAAGTCTATTGAGAAGCAGATGGAAAAGCAAAAAACAAAGAATTCCTTAAAGCTTTAACACTTTTGAGGCTGGGAAAGTGGCTCAGGGGTAGAGTGCTTGCCTTGCATGCAGGAGACTCTGGGTTCGATTCCTCAGCCCCACATACGCAGAAAAAGCCCGAAGTGGCGCTGTGGCTCAGGTGGTAGGGTGCTAGGCCTGAGCTGAAGAGCTGAGGGACAGCGCCCAGGCCCAGAGTTCAGGGCCCGCAACCGACAGAAAAAAAAAAAGCTTTAACACTTTTAAGCTTAAAAAGTGTGTTAGTTGGTGACAGATGCCTAGATGGACGAGTTAGAATTCTAATCCTCGTCCATATCCTGAGCAGAGGACTGATTCCTTAACAAGTCATTCTTTTTTACCTCTCTGAACCTCAGGCTTCTCAAATGCTCAATGGGGATGAGAATACCAACATTCAACAATTATTCTAAACTAGAAAGCACCATCTAATGAATAGCACTATTCCTAAACTCGATAGCTCCATAGAACAAATAGTACTATTGCTGATTTTCCTGGGATGGTTACATGGAGTGATCTGTCATAGAGCCATCAATTGCCTTATAACAAGAGCTTGTAAGCATTTCAGTAACTAGCCCTCTTTTATAGTCAGAGGGCACTGCCATGGCTAGCTTTCAGTAGGGTAGGTTGGGAATATAAGACTCCAAAAGAAATGGCCAACATTACTGCCAACATTAATGCATAGGTGTTTGTTTTTCCAGCTTCACAACTGATCTTTTTTTCAAAAATAATTTTCTTTCACAGCCAAATTTCTTGGTAATCAGCAGGTAAGCTACGGGCAAACCCTGTCTTTTGACTACCGTGTGGACAGAGGCGGCAGACACCCCTCTTCCCATGATGTGATTTTGGAAGGCGCTGGCCTACGGATCACAGCTCCTCTGATGCCTCTTGGCAAGACACTCCCTTGTGGGCTCACCAAGACTTACACATTCAGGTAAATAGAAGGACCACAACTGAGTCACACAGAGCAGACTGTGATTGGAGCCCAAGTCTTTTGTTCAGGCACTTTTTTTCTATCATTCATTCATTTAAGGAGCTTTGCTGAGCACCATTTGCTCACCAACCCTGGCATTATGTGCTGAGATGGTATATGATTTCTCCTCTCAAACACCTGGCAGGCTAATGGGAGAGAAGGAAGAACAGATAGGAACAGTGTTGTCAAGTGATAGAAATGGGTGAGGTGGTCACAAGTGTTTCGAACATAATTTATAAGAGGCAAAACTGACTCGTTGAGGGTGATCGGGACTCTTTCCAAGAACATATGGCAAGTGTAAAGTACAAGGGCCTGGAGCAAAAGCAAAGGAGAAAGAGGTTAAGGAGGCAGTGGGAATATCCTGCCTGAGGAAGTTTTGTGCGTTTAGGAAATGCCTGGTAATTGATCAGGAGTGGAGCCAGAAGTAGGAGAGAGGAATGTGGAGGAATGAAGTCAGAGAAAGACTCAGCCCTGTGTGTGTCTGTGGAGACTGCACGTACCCTGTGGAAGCCCCATGAGGCTTTTGAGTGGTGTGTTCAGAGAGGTAGGCAAGGAAGCAGAATCTGCCCAGTGCTCAGTCCTACGGTACAGGCGAGAAATAAACATAATCACTTCCCTACAAGCACTCATGGTCTACTAGGACAATGCAACAATTACTTGAGGGGTGGAAAGATCTTTAAAAAGAGCCTAATTCTACCTGAAGAAGTCAAGGTAAGCTTCGTGGAAGAGGCAACCTGTGGTTGGAGAGTGGAAAGGTTTACAGGGAGAAAGTCAGAGGTCAATCTCCATGTGTGAATTGGTGTGAAAAGGTTGGAAGGTATAAATGGAGGCAAGTAATATTTGTAGCTAGACCATGGGGGAGGGAAGCAGATTGAATGGGCTGGAAAGGGAATCACCATAGTGGCTTTATATGTCAAGTCAAGGTGCTTAGCTCTTGAGCTTGTTGGAAGAATGATGGAAAGCCACTGAGATGCTATGTCTAGAAATGGTCATAGGCAGGTGAAGGCTGGGTGCAGACACTGTGCACAATATTTGAGTATTCATATGGTTCAGCTATGGTTGGGGGCCTAACTCGGGGCAGAGATAATAGGAAGGAAGGCAAGAGACACATAGTCCCCACACAAGAACTGTATACGTCAGTGAGTGCTACTCATTTATGATGCACATACATCGCTCTCCTGCCTAAAATATCCATTCCTACCTTCCTAGTTGAATGAACTTACTCTTGGAGAGTCAGCTTACATGTTCTTCCTTTGTATTACTCTTCTCAGGATACCAGGAAAAGTTATAGTCACCTTGTGTGTTTCTAGAACATTCGGTGCATGAGTTTATGAGTCGTCATTGCATTGTATTATAGCTGTTAACTCACTAACACCCCTGCTTAAATGCTAATTCTCTCTTCTTAATTACCTTTTCATCAAACCTCACAACTTGCAGCCCAAGACAAAGGTACAATTAGCCTTTTAATTTTGGGAAAGTAGAGATAGTCCTGAAGCCTGAAATGAGGACCTCAAGTTCTCACTCAGCTTTCTTGCTCATGTCTAGTTCTCTACCGCATGAGCCATATCTCCAGCCTAACATTTTGCTAGAGATGGTGTCTCAAATGTTTCTGTCTTGGTTGGCTTCATAGTGAGATTCTCCAGATCTTGGCCTCCTAAGTACATAAGACTATAGGGGTGAGCCACTAGTGTGTTGCTGAACTGTTAAAAATAGTTTGCAATACTGGGGCTCTAACCTAGGGCCTTGCTATTAGAGAGGAGCTCTACAATGGATCTACACTCCCAATTCCACAGTCAGGTTTTGTTTTACTAATCAGTGAATGAAATGAAAGCAGTAGAGCTATTCTTGGAAGCAATATTCCAGTGAAGAAAATAAAGCAAATTAAAAAGAGTAGCACAGAGACTTTGATAGGGCACAATGAGGCATTCAAGAAACATTGGCATCTAAAGATGTAGCTCAGTGGTAGCTTGCCCCAGCACAAAAGAAAGAAGCATTCAATTTGAACAATTTTGAAGATGGACACTGATTTTTGAAGAGTAAAGGAAATTGCTCAAAGAGAAGTAAATCATTTAAAGGGCAAAGCTACAAATGACTCAGAGCTTCTAGAAGTTAGAGGTGTGTCTAGTATTAGGTTAACTAGCCAGGCGCCAGTAGCTAATGCTGGTAATCCTAGCTACTCAGAAGGCTGAGATCTGAGGATCACTGTTCAAAGCTAGCTGGGGCAGGAAAGTCTGTGAGACTTTTTATTTTTATTTTTTTTGTCAGTTGTAGGGCTTTTGTGTGAAGGCTAGCAATTTACCATTTTGAGCCACAGTACAGATTCAGTTTTGTGGTGGTTAATTGGAGATGAGTCTCAGACTTTCTTGCCCCAGCTGGCTTCAAACCTCAATCATCAGATCTCAGCTTTCTGAGTAACTAGGATTCCAGGGATGAGCCTCTTGTCTCCAATAAACCACTCAGAAAAAGCCAGAAATGGCACTGTAGCTTAAGTGGTAGAGCACTAGCCTTGGGCAAAAATAACCCCAGGCCCTGAGTTCAAGTCCTAGGAATGGCATGCGTGCTCTGTCTCTGTCTCTGTCTCTGTCTGTCTGTCTGTCTCTCTCTCTCTCTCACACATACACACATACACACACACACACACAAACACACACCCTAGGTCACCAATGGCCAGGTGTACAATGCCACTTCTGAGGATTTGGGCCAGGCATTTCTCCAGGTGAAATGACCCCTCAAATAGACTTAGCACACTGGCACACAGCCATTCCCTCACTGTGGGGCTTGCCTACCTCCACGGAGAGAGAAAGCTCTACATTCACATCTCTGAGGACTGTAAAACGGACTGCCACAGTCTTAGATGTTCGAACATTCTCAAACATAATTTGTATTAGGCAGTGATGTGATAGGAGTTGGTTTTTTGTAAGACTTCAATTTGCAATTACTCAGGTTAAGTGAACATCCAAGCAGCAACTGGAGCCCTCAGCTGAGTTATTTTGAGTACCGAAGATTGCTACGGAACCTCACCGCCCTCCGGATCCGGGCCACATACGGAGAGTACAGTAAGGGACCAGGAGAAACAAAGTTCTCTCTTCTTGGGTTTCACTTTAATTGGTTTTGGCTCTGTAAGACGGTAGCAATCTCCAGAGGAGTACTTGATGCTGATTTTCACTTAGAGAATCTAACAACATTTTTACTTCTACAAGTGTGCTGACTGTCCCATTGGTTTCTACAATGATCCACACGACCCCCGCAGCTGTAAGCCATGACCTTGTCACACGGTGTAGCTTAGTAGCTTTTGTACTTGCTACACAGGTGTTTTACCATTTGAGTCACACCCCCAGTCTTTTTTTTTTCCTTTTAGTTTTTTTCAGGATAGTGTCATATTTATTGCCCAGGCTGTCCTGGACTGTGATCCTCCTATTTACCCTCTCACTGTAGCTGGAATGATAGACACATACCACCACAAACATCTTTTTCTATGGAAATGGGAATCTCTAAAACGGTTTTGCTCAGCACTGCAGCTCTCCCGATCTCAGCCTGTCATGTAGCTGAGATCACAGGCTTAGACTGCCATTCTAGTTTATTTATTGAGACTGAGTCTCACTGGTTGGTCTCATACCTTCTGATCTCTGGAGCTGCTGGTGTTGCTGATGTCAGCCACACCCAGGCCATCTATAAATATTTTTTTTAAATGAATGATTCTTTAAGAAGAGTTCAACACTGATGAAGAATGAATGCTTTCACAACCGTCTGGATTGAAATTAAAACAGATTATTTGAAGGAGATAATCTTCAGTAAATTTATGTAGTCTCCTGGCTAGGTAAAGCCCCGGCTCTTCCTTGAATCGCTCTTCCTTTGGGAGTATACTTAATGCTTCCGTGTTTGGACATACCACATATTTTGTCAATTCTTTCTTTTAAGCTTCACATGTTAGGTCCTGCTAATCCCAATAGAAATCATTTAAAGGAGAATTCCTTAAGCTTGTTAGTGCTTATGTAGAAAAGCATGTCTGGCCTGCACCATTTCTGTGCTAGTAAATAGAGCAGGAAGTAGGAAAGTTGTTCTCTCACAATTTTTAAATTATCACCAGATGTGTTGTTACTATGACTTCTCTTTTACAACTGGAAAGGTTAAATGATTTGCCCCATTCATAAGTCTCATGAGGGGGCACAATTGAAACTCCACTTTCCCTGAGTCTAGAGCCTGGGTGATCACTCATGATACTGCACCACCAAAGCCCTCCATATGGCGTGCTGTGTGCACAGCACCTGTAGGAATTAAAAAACCATAATCCAAAGACAGTCTTGATCTTAGATCTATAGACCTTAGCACTCTCCACTTCTGACCTCTTTTCTCTATTGCAGGTACTGGGTACCTTGACAACGTGACCCTCATTTCAGCCCGCCCTGTCTCTGGAGCCCCTGCACCTTGGGTTGAACATTGTGTATGTCCTGTTGGATACAAGGGACAATTTTGCCAAGATTGTGCTTCTGGCTACAAAAGAGATTCAGCAAAGCTAGGGCCTTTTGGCAGCTGTATTCCCTGCAACTGCCAAGGGGGAGGGACCTGCGATCCAGACACAGGTGAGTGAAAGAGCATGTGGACCAGGTGGCTGGGAAGGTAAGAGATGGAGCTCAGTAAGAGATACCTTGGCCAAACTCATTTCAGAGATGGGAAAGGATTAGGGAGAATGGCACTGGGGTGAGGGAGAGTAGACATGGTGCTTGGTTACTCTCAATCCTTTTCATTATGGAAATGCCACAGGGTTGTGAGAAAGGGGCCAGGTTACAGGAAATGACCTGTCATGCTTCAGTGCATAGTGTTGGAAGAATTGGTGTTGAGTTGCAAGAATTGTTTGGGGAGATCAAAGGCAAGTCAAGGTCTCAATCAATGAGCAATAAGTGATGCCAGACCGTGGTGGGCTGAGGAAAAACAGTAAGCTGTGGACAGTAAAGGAAATGCGTGTCTACAGAGCATGCAATTGTGAGGCAGGATTTAGGGTCTTAGCTGTGTTTAGATTCCATCAAAGGGCAGACTAGAATGAACACCTGTGCCCAGACATTAGGGAACCATTTACAAAGGAAAGATTGGGGTTCCTGCATGCTGGTCCCCCGTGTTTCATCTGCACTGCTTAGTCCCCTGTCCCTCCACTCTTCTGCCTCCTAGGAGATTGTTATTCGGGGGACGAGAGCCCTGACATCGAGTGTGCTGACTGTCCCATTGGTTTCTACAATGATCCACACGACCCCCGCAGCTGTAAGCCATGCCCTTGTCACAATGGGTTCAGCTGCTCGGTGATGCCAGAGACTGAGGAGGTGGTGTGCAGCAACTGCCCCCCAGGGGTCACTGGTAAGGCCAGGGGCTTGCTCGTTAGAGGGCTTCTTCCTGTCCTGCTGCCTGGCATTTACATAGATAGCTTTTATGTCAACTCATGTCTAGGAAAGTACAGTTACCCCCAGTGTAAATGATCTATCTGTGCTCATTTTAAGGATACTGTGGTATCCATCAGGTGGATAAGTTGGAATAAGGGCTGAGCTGTGCATGCTTAGCAATTTCATCTGAAAACTGATGATTTTTAGTGAACTGAAGTAAGTAGAGAAGGAAACGTTAGTGATTTCTTAAGCCCAAGGCCTAGAGCTCTTGCTTGACTTTGTTTTTTAACTCAAGACTGGTGCTCTACCACTTGAGCCATATCTCCACTTACTGGCTTTTTGCTGGCTAATTGGAGATCATAGTCTCTCAGATTTGTCTGCCTGGGCTGGTTTTGAACTGGGGTCCTCAGATCTCAACCTCCTCAGTAGCTAGGATTGTAAGCACGAGCCACCAGCTCCTAAGCTAGCCAGTCATTCCGTGGCAGCCTTGGTGACACTATTGAAATGTTAGTATTTCTTTTGTCCTCCTGGCATTTCCCCAAACAGATAGTTAAGCCTTCTCGTGGTGCTGCTGTGTTCTAAACTCTATGGCGACCAGACAGCAACAGTGCCAACCTCTGCCGTGTGCACCTGCTCTGGGGTATTGTCTTGGAGTCCCAGGGGACTCCCATGTCCCCAACCCTTCTAGGGAAACCTTCGCTACTTTAGGCTGTATGTGTGGTCTTGCTACCAGTAGGTGACAAGCTGGGCCTTTGTTCCTTCCCAGGTGCTCGCTGTGAACTCTGTGCCGATGGCTACTTTGGGGACCCCTTCGGAGAACATGGCCCAGTGAGACCTTGTCAACCCTGTCAATGCAATCACAACGTGGACCCCAGTGCATCTGGGAACTGTGACCGGCTCACAGGCAGGTGCTTGAAATGCATCCACAACACAGCTGGCTTCTACTGTGACCAGTGCAAAGCGGGCTACTTCGGGGACCCATTGGCTCCCAATCCAGCAGACAAGTGTCGAGGTAGGACTGTACCCCTGGAGATGTGGCACCTGGGCATTCCTGTGTTCAAGTAAGCTTGCTAGTGAGTGTGCATACATGTAAACCAAGGTAGACTCAAGGGCAGTGAATATCATGGTGTAACGTTGCCTGTCTGGTCAGACTAGCCTGTGAATAGCTTTCGTTGAATACCTGTCAAGAGGCACCACCATCAGTTTCCCCTGTGTAGGGATCTGGGAGGCAGAGCCAAAGGCTCTCAAATGTGAAAGCTGTGTGGGAGAAGTGGAAAAGGTCAGGTTTACATTCCTAAGTGGAAGAACAGATAAAATAGAACCATATCCTAGGGCCAGTCCTGAGGCTGATAGACCAGGAAGTGGCTGCCCGAGCTGTTGGAGTAATAAGTGCCTCGAGACTGAGCCTGAACAAACTGAAGCGGGGAGGGGGGGGGTGGCTGTAAGGAAGCTTAAGAGACCCTCTCAGGAAGTGAGGATAATTGATGTATAGAAGGGAACTGACAACAGTTCTACTAAGAGACTGAGCTTCAAAGCAGCGTTTCTCACAAAGCCTTGGCTCCTAAAGGCTGCTTTAGAGTACAGCATGGATAAGCACGTCCGGTGTCCCATTTAACAACTCTCTCAAACCTTAGCTCGTGTTATATTTCATACTCAAGGCCTCATCCAGCGCGACTGGCCTGTCTCTGGCTGAGTCACAAAGGTCCCAGAAAGGCTCTGGTGACCAGCACTCAGGAGCTGGTCCATGAATAATGTCCTTACACCAGAGTTTCCTGTAAATGCCTGGGGCTTCTACTCCACGTGACAGGTCCCTGGAAGATTCCTGGGCCAGACCAAATTAGATCCCAACCTAAAGGTCATCTATGATGTCCTGTCATATGGTAAGAGCCTACATGACATTTGTTATTAGAACCAAGTTCAAGTCCAGTTTTAACATACTGGTTTGTATTTGTTAGACTTTGTGTTGCTGTGACGAATACCTAAGAAAAACAACTTAAAGGGAGACATGTCTTGCTCATGGTTTAAGGGGAGGATGGTGGGACAGAGCTGTTCTAAGCATGGTAGTAAGGAAGCTGGGGGAGATAGGATGGGACCAAGGCAAGAAAGGCCCTCAAAGACCCTGCCCTGTTCTACTTCCTCCAAGCAGGCCTCAACCTCCACGGTTCACATTTTGAATCCATCACTAGATTAAACCATACAGTAAGCCAAGAGCTCTCATGATTTCATCATCTCTACCAATGCCCCTACAGACACTTTGAGAAGTATGTCTTACTAATCTCCTAGATGTCCCTCAATCCAATGAAGTCAGCCATCCAGATGAACTCCCACACTGTTGTACAGTGCTCATTATGCCAAGCCATCTCTCTGAGTCTCAGTTTCCTTCACCATACGAACAATATCTAACTCCAAGTAGTGGAAGAGATCAAATAAAATGGCATAGGAGATCTAGCCAATAACAGTCAGTGGATCTTACATTTCTTCACTCAACTGTCTTTTTATGGAGCACCTACTGTGTATACCTGGTGGGTGTAGGTGTAGATACTATAGTTAGGACAATGAATAAGTCAGGCCCAGTTCCCAAACAGCTCACATGCTAATAAGAAGACACAACCGTATGCAAATGATCGTAGTATACTTAGATCCCATGCTAAGCTTTCTGTAGACCAATAGGTTCTCTAGAGTACCACCCTAACGTCTAACATGGTGTTGCACCAGTTATATCCTGACTGGCATGTGCTCAGGCAGTTCAGTTGGATGGGTGACAGCCCTGTTTCTGTGCTACATTTCCTACATCAGAGGCAGCAGCCCAGAAGGAAAAGAGCATTGGCTCTTTCCGAGCTGTCTTTTGCTATGGGAGTTTGAGCAATTTACTCACCCTCTCTGAGCTTACATGCTTGTTCTGTAACACAGAGGCAGATGTTTACATCTGGCACAAATATAAGAAATGCTCTGCACCTTGTGAGCAAAGGCAGAGCGGTGGCAGGATAGCCAACAGGCTTGCAGTTCAATGAGAGGGGGAAAAGGATGGACTGTCACTCTCCCTCTTCATTCACCAAACAGACTTGCAGGGTTCCCTGAGGTTGCCCGGTTAGGAACGTTCATAGAGGCCCAGCCAAGAGATGAGCCTGACACATGTGAATGACAAAGGGCAAAGAAGGCGTCTTTGTCATGAGTGATGCCCTCTTCCTTTTCTTTATGACACCTCCAGTTTCTAGTGTTAGTGAATGCTCTATTTGTCTGTCTCCAGCTTGCAACTGCAACCCCATGGGCGCAGAGCCTGGCGAGTGCCACAGTGATGGCAGCTGTGTTTGCAAGCCAGGATTTGGTGGAGTCAACTGTGAGCATGCTGCACTGACCAGCTGTCCTGCTTGCTATAATCAAGTAAAGATGCAGGTATGCCTGCTAATGCCCAACCCGTCTCTCCCCGGCCCCCTCTCCCTGCCCCAAGAGTCACTCTTTTATGTTTGGGTCCTTTATTCAAAGGGAGTCTCAAAATACCTGTCGTTTTTCCAAGTGCATGGCCAGGTGGTCCTAAGAATGCCATTCCTGTCCCCAGACTCTGAGTTCAGTGGTCTAGTCACTGTAGTATACTTTCCAACTAGAGCTACTTTCCAGCTAGAGCTCTACTCTGTTCCCTACCACTACCATTGCAATATCCTTGTAAAACAAAGGAAGTGGGCAAACATTTATCAAAGATATCCAGAGTCCAGGGAAGACTAAAACTTGCCAAACCAGACTGGCCTTCAGAAATTTCAAATCCAAATTCCAGAGCAGGATGAACTTGAGTCGTTGCTGCTGTTGTTGTTGATTATGAGTATTTATTTTTAGAAAGAGGAGAGGCAGAGAAACAGGTCCACAAAAAAAAACTTCAAATATAGCTGGGCGCTGGTGGCTCATGACTGTAATTCTAACTATTTAGGAAGCTGAGATCTGAGGATTGTGGTTCAAAGCCAGCCTGGGCAGAAAAGTCCATAAGACTCTTATCTCCAAATAACTGCCAAAAAAAATCTAAAAGTGGTGCTGTGGCTTGAGTGGTAGAGCAAAAAAGCTCAGGGACAGTGCCCAGGCCCTTGAGTTCAAGCCCCAAGATGGGCACAAAAAAAAAACAGAACCAATTTTTTAAAGCCTTTCAAATATACTCATTTTTGCCTATTTAACAGTTTTATAGTACTTTCCTGGTGCCAAGCTCTGTTTTAAATATGTTACAAATATTAACTTGTTTAACACAAGTGATAATTTGAAAGGATAGTATAATTAAGTTTCTTATCCTCACTTTATAGGCAGAGAAGGTGACTTTATGAAGGTCACAGAGCTAGGGTTTGGGGCGATACACACTCATGTCTGGGCGCTACAGTCTAAATTTTCAGCCATTATGACATAGCAAGCATTTCTGGGCATTCGCAATGGTCTCACCTGGCCTCAGACTGCGGTCCCCATCCTTTGTTCTGATCATGCTTCCTGTGTGCTTTCAGTTGGGTCCCTTTATGCAGCAGCTGCAGAGCCTGGAGGCCCTGGTGTCCCAGACTCAGGGGAGCGGCGGAACGGTGCTCAACTCAGAACTGGAAGGGAGGATGCAGCAGGCTGAGCAGGCCCTTCAGGACATTCTGAGAGAAGCCCAGATTGCAGAAGGTGAGGAAGGCCTGCTTCTTCTATCATAGCAGACTCCTCGCCTAGGAAGAATTGCTTCACTGGATCATAGAATCTTCTGCTGTCATTGGCTCAGCAGATGTCTCCAGCCAGCCCTTACCTAGGTGGCAGGACTGCCTGGGACCTGGATGAAGGAGATTATAAAGCGATCTGGTATAATTACCTATTCGGTTTTTCTCCTTTGTAATAAGCCAGTGCCACCTGTGTGTTACAGATGCTAGGAGATCCCTCAGTCTCCAGGTGGCCAAGGTAAGGGGTCAAGAGAACAGCTACCAGAGCCGCCTGGATGACCTCAGGAGGACTGCTGAAAGGATTCAGGCCCTGAGCAGCCAGCACCAGAACCAAGTTCAGGACACTCGCAGGCTTATCACGGAAATGCGCTTGAGCCTGGCGGAAAGCGAAGCGTCCCTGCGCAACGCCGTATGTATGCGTGGTGGGGTTAGGGCACTGAGAGTCCCTTCTGTGCCCGGAGACCTGCCCATAGGTCTCACCGGCTCATTTTCTGTCTCTTGAGCTTCTTGCTCTACCTGGCAGGTGCTTGGATTTCACATCTCTTCTTTATTTCTTTGCCACCCTGTAATTTCCCATTTTCCTGCATTATGCTTTTCTACCTAGTGTGTTCTAACTGCATCCTCCTCTTGGCTCCGTCTCTCCTCTCTTCTTTCTTACAGGACTTAGTTTTACTTGTTCTTGCATTCTCAACCCACATCACAGTATGTGACAGAGTGATCAGTGGATAAAGGGATAGAAGGATAGGTGGATGGATGGAAGAAAGGAAGAAAAGGGAGGGGAAGGGAGAGAGGAAAGAAAGAAGGCAGGCAGACAGACAGCTGGAAGCAGCCTAATGACATAGTTCTGAAAATGGAAAAAGAATTGTAGCAAGTTTGACGTTTCCTAATGATGCAGTTTGTAGATCAGTAGGAAGGAAAGGTTTGTTGATACCCTCTTGTATTTCTGAATTCAAAAGGCTAAGGTGACAATAATGTAAGAGGATGAGTAAAGATGGATAGAGGTAATTGGAAGACACCATAACATGACGAGAAATCACACTATAAATAGTATGTGGAAGTGGAGCTATATAGCTTAAATGATAGCGTGACAACCTTAAGTACAAAAGTTAAGAGACAGCACCCGAACCAACACACATGCACACACACACAGAATGTATTGACTCCCTATTGAAAAAATGTTTATTAAAGAAAAGCAGAAAGTAAATAGAAATCCTCTATGATATTTTTACTATTGACTACTGTTAAAAGTTGGTAGTTTAGTGAACTTTAAATAAGTACAAAATATATACACCTATATTAAGTGCATCTTTATTTTTATACAGACATTTTTTGAACTTGGATATCGACTTTGTTCTTGTCTACACATATACGTGTGTGTGTGTGTGTGCGTGCGCGCGCGTGTGCGCGCACACGCCAGTTCTGAGGTTTAAACTCAGGGCTTCTCACTCTGACTTGGCTTGCTTGCTTGGCCAGAACTCTACTACTTCAGCCAGTCCTCCAGCCCAGATTTTTGCTGGTTATTTTGGTGATGGAGTCTTTGAACTTTTCTTCCCAGTCTGGCTTTGAAACTACAGGCCTCCAGATCTCAGTCTTCTTAGTAGCTTGGATTACAAGGCTGAGCCACCAGCACCTGGCTTACACATATACTTATTAACGTGTGATCATAGTGAATAGACATTTTTGATGTGTCTGGGTATGGAAAGGTGTGGCTGCTGACAAGCTTTTCTGACACTTGAACTGCAGCTGCTTAGGCTCCAGTGCCACGTGCAAAACCTTAACCACTTCTTCTTTCCCCACAGAACATTCCTCCCTCTGAGCACTATGTGGGGCCAAATGGCTTTAAAAGTCTGGCTCAGGAGGCCACGAGTTTGGCAGACAGGTGAGCAGCAGCGGAGGGCACTTGCGTGTCAGCCTCTCCGGATGACCTATAACATACTGGAGACCCAAGCACCGCTTTCATTCCTTTCAGGCTTCTCCCAAGACCCTTACCCCCAACCCTGCAGCCATCCCAACCTCTTTGCTTTCAGTGTGGATGCTGGGCAGGGCCATTTGGCAAGGGTTTGGGGGTGGGGTGTTTCTTTCCCAGATTTCTCTATGACTCACGCGTGGCTTTGGTATATGTCAGATGTGATTCCTCAGGCCATGTGAAATGAATCAGCCTCTGGAAAGGGGTGTTCTGCAGCTTTCAGGGACTCCCAGGCTCCCACCCCGAGCCTGGGAACAAGTAGCAGCAGGCTGTTTGCTGGCCGATGGGGGCCAAGTGTGCACAAGGGGAACCTGCTTCTGGAAACTTGGCAGGACCGGAGGCTAATCCCCTGCTCCCTCTGACTGGGCACCATGCAGAATGGAAATCCTACTGGGTTAAAGGGGGTTTAAAGGGGGCTCTCTGCTAGCAGAGCTCAGCATGGCAGAGGTTCTGATAATCTGGGATTTTGGAGCGTGAGCTGCCTCCTGAGCCTATTTTTTTTCCTTGTTACTGTTTGTTTGTTGGTTTTTTTTAATATCAATTCCTAGAAGCAGGAGAATGAAGCAATGAAGCTTATATAATACTTTTTTTAAAAACCTGCACTGGAGCACAGACTCAAGACCTCACACTTGCTACACTGGCATTCTGTCACAAAGCCCTTTTTGCTTTGATCATTTTTTTTTTTGAGTCAAGGTCTTACGTTTATGCCGGGGACAGCCTGGGCCACAATCTTGTTGTTTGCACTGTCCTCCATAGGACGACAAATGTGTACCAGCTTTTAATGGGTTGAGATGGGTTTTTTATAATGTTTTGCCTGGTCTGGCCTGGAACCTTATTCCTCCTAATTTTCCTCCTAGGCAGCCAGGAGCGAGGATTGCAGGCCAGAGCTTCTGTAACCAGCTTACAGGAGACTTTTATTGACAGGCTTTATCCTCCTGGGTAGTGGGTCCAGATTCAAACTGCAGCAAAAGTGAATAGGGAATTGGACCCTGGATAAAATAAGACCTAGGGATATCGTCCTGCAGAAAACAACTTACACATGCACTATTTTGTGAACAAGACTGCTTCCACTTACTCCTGTCCCCCAACTTCCAAAGAGTCTGCCATAAATGGAAATGACCACCGCAGATCTATGGCATGAGGCTTAGTCACCACAGCACCTGCTTCTTGAGAGTTCCTTTAGTTGTGTCTATGTGGGTCAGAGTGTTGGGCATTTTTCAAGCCACACTAGTTTCTTCATTCCTTATTCATATGAAATATATGTATATATATGCTGTATACTTATGCTCATTTTTCTATGACAACAGATTCTTTGTCTTTAATCCTTTCAGCCATGCTGAGTCAGCCAGTAACATGGAACAACTAGCAAGGGAAACTGAGGACTTTTCTAAACAAGCTCTAGCCCTGGCCCGCCAGGCTGTGAATGGAGGGGGCGGAAGTGATATTTCAGACAGCTCTGTGGTACAAGGACTTATGGGAAAGTAAGTGTCAACAGATCTTCACTTGGACCATTGACTTATTCCCCCAAGAGGATCCATTACCTGGATTCTTTATCTGAAGCCTTCCAGAGTAGAATGCAAACCATACTTGGGATGCACCGTATGTTTTTTTTTTTATTTAAAATGCATTAATAATGAGAGGGAAAACTAGGAGAAAGTAAGGGATGGCATTGTCCAAAAAGGAATGTACTCATTACCTGACATATACCTGTAACCTCTCTGTAAATTTATAATAACAACTAAAAAATTAAAATAATAATAAGAGGGGAAAGAAAATGAACATATGGCTTTGCAGAAAGCAAATCTCTTTAAAACTGGAAGAAGCAATAATTGGTTAATCTAAGTCAAGTTTACGTTCTGATTGAGAAATTGCAGTACTTGAAGAGATTATTATCTTCTGTGGCATTTAAAGAGTTTATAAACAGCCATAAGGGGCTGGAATGTAATAGTGATATACTTATACTTTACGTCTTTATGCCTCTCTATGTCTAGGTCTCTTTATGTCTATGTCTTTTTGGTTTTTTGGGTTGGTCATGGGTCTTGAACTCTGGGCCTGGGTACTGTCCCTCAGCTCTTCAGCTCAAGGCAAGCGCTCTACCACTTGAGCCACAGTACCACTTCCGGTTTTCTGGTGGTTAATTAGAGATAAGAGTCTCATGGACTTTCCTGCCCAGGCCAGTTTTAAACCATGATCCTCGGATCTCAGCCTCCTGAGTAGCTAGGATTATAGGCATGAACCACCAGCACCTGGCTTCTCTAGGTCTATGTCTATGTCTTTGTTTGTCTATCTTCCTCCCGCCCCTCTCTTAATCATCTCATCTTTCCCTCTATAGATTAGAGACCACCAGGTCCCTGGCCCTGCAGCTTTCAAGGGAAGCCACTCAGGCTGACCTGGAGGCAGATCAATCTTACCAGCACAGTCTCCGCCTTCAGGATTCAGTGTCTCAGCTTCAGGGACTCAGTGATCCATCTTTTCAGGTGAGTCATCTATAGCTGCTTTCTTCTGCTATTGTAGTGTTCAACCATTTAGCTTCTTCTCCATGTTGACTGCATTCATGAACTTCAACCTCACATAACTACAGTGAAATGCCTAAGACAACCTAACTTATCCAGAGGAAAGGTTGGTTTAGCCCAGTGTTTTGGAAGTTCAAGGGAATGGCACCTACATAGGCTCAGTTCTCAAAAGGATGATGAATGGAAATGGGGGAGAACTCTTTTACAGCACAGTTCATATGTCACAGCCAGGAACAGAGAGGAAAGGTCTGGTAGGGCCGTGTAATGCTATTGAAGGCACATCTCTAAGATAGATAGGCCTGAGGAGAGAGTCCATAGCACTTCAGGGACAGTACCCATATTCTAATAATAAAAGCACCCTTCTTGCTTTACAACAGGAAGAATATTTGTCTTTTGTTCATCTCCATTTCTTGTATTCTTAAACCCTATCTTAGTCTTCAAAAGCTTTCCATCCTGAACCTATTAGTGGATAAAGGCTTGATATCTCTTTAGTTCCAAGGACTGTCATAACCCATGGGAAGTTATTGTCAAAGTTAGTGTCTTTCTGTATCGTCCTGCTGAGAAGGCCTTTGTCCTCAAAAGTTTTCTCTTGTTTCCTTTAACCATTCCAAATTTACTAGATTAAGAAGATTCTGCTTTCTATACACAGCAAAAGCACTTAGAGTGATGCTCAGGGACAAATGTTTCCGGAGCATAGAAGCTTAAATGTAAATTCTTTTTTGTATGCAAGTACTGGAACTGAAACTTAGGGCCTTTCACTGTTGCTTAGCTTTCTTGCTCACGGCTGGCACTCTACCGCTTGAATCAGCTTTCCAGTCCAACTTTTTGTTAGTTGACTGGAGATGGAGTCTCATGGATTTTTCTTCCCAGGCTGACTTTGAACCATGATCCTCTAGGTTCCAGCTTTCTGAGTCGCTAGAGTAAATTCCTTTTTAAGAAGAGACCAAACCTGCTTGATGCCTAGGGTACCCGCTGCCTTCAGCTGGGCATGTTGCCTTGTTACCATTAAGGCTTTGGGCCTAGATAGCTGGTGTTAACTTTCTTAGCTTTTTAATGTGTTTGTGTGATTGATAATTTAGGTAGTACTTGGATTCAAACTTAGGACCTTGCACCAGGCACTCTGTTACTTGAGCTACACTCTGTAGCCCTTTCTACGTTAGTTTCTTTTCAGGTGGTCTTGAGGTATTTTCCTTTTTTCTCCTAAACTGGTTTGTTTTTATGGGTCCCAAGTTTTTACTTAGGGCTGACCTTGGACTAAGTTTCTCCTACCTACAGCCTCCCATATAAATGAACACACCCAGTTTATTAGTTGAGATGTGGGTCTTGCAAGTATTTTGTCTGAGCTAACCTGGACTGTGATCCCACTGTTTATATTTTCCACTGGTGCTGAGATGACAGGCTTGTGATATTACATTTTAACTTTTCTGTTGAGATGGGAATCTCGTGAATTATCTGTCCAGGTAGGCCTGGAACTGCGATCCTCTTGCTTATAGTTAGGGTTACATATGTCAACCACCATGCCTACCTGGTTTTCTTGCCTTCTTAAGGTGGATGTGGTTGCTAGTGTGCTAACTAGTAAACAGGAAGTTAGACTCATTCATTTCTTTGGGCCCACAGGTGGAAGCAAAGAGGATCAGACAAAAAGCTGACTCTCTCTCAAGCCTGGTAACCAGGCACATGGATGAGTTCAAGCTTGTGCAGAGCAATCTGGGAAACTGGGAAAAAGAAATGCGGCAGCTCTTGCAGAGTGGAAAGGATGGGCGTCAGGTATGGTCTTGTTATGCTCATTACGTAATGTATGTGTACCATGGGGGGTGAAGATGACAAGGTTTTCTGAAGGGCATGGTGCCACTGCCGGCAGAGGGAGCAACTGAGACTCAGATCTTGATGGCACAGATGTACCCTGGGTCTATTCAGACCTAGGAATGGAACCCAGGCTTCCTAGATCTACTTTTGGTCGAAGCCTGTGTACTAATGTGGCTTCAGGGAGTATCTGGAATTTAAAGTTATGACTTGCAAAACTATTCTTGTCTCCAGTGGTGGACTAGACCTGGAATCTGTCTTCTAGGTGGCCTGGTGTTGACTTAGAAAGTTTGTTCTGTCCCACACTGTGGAGGGATTTATGCCCTAGCACGGTGTGGTGAATCACAGAACTCTTGTTGCCACAAGGAGAAATGTGTCAGGGAGATTTTACTAGCAGGAATGCACTTGCTCTAATCTTGTTCTGTCTATTTACAGAAAGCAGGCCAGCTGCTTTCCCGTGCCAACCTTGCTAAAAGCAGAGCCCAAGAAGCACTAAGTATGGGCAATGGCACTTTTTATGAAGTGGAGAGCATTCTGAAGAACCTGCGAGGTTAGTGCTTCACGCTTCGGTCACTCAAGTATTTTAAAGGAGTAGTCATAGCTAACCTGTGTTCAATCTTCATGTATCTCTTTAAGTACTGGGCATACTGGAATACTAACAGGTGCTTAGGAAATACCTTTCTAAGGGGAAAAAAAATCTCTAACATTTAATCAAATATTAATCTTTGATCTAGGTAGTGGAAAGAATTCAACTAAATACAAGAAGGCTTGAAGCTGGACACTGGTGGCTCACACCTGTAATCCTAGCCTCCTGTAAAGAGGCTAAGAGCTGAGGATCATGGTTTGAAGCCAGCCTGGACAAGAAAGTCCATGAGATTCATGTCTCTGATTAACTACCAGAAAACCAGAAGTGGAGTTGTGGCTCAAAGTGGTGGAGTGCTAGTCTTGAGCAAAAAAAAGAGTTCAGAGACAGCACCCAGGCCCTGAGCTGAAGTCTCATGACTGGGAGAGAGAGATAAAAAAAAAGAAAAAAAAAGAAGGCTTGAGTTCTGTTCTCTATTTGGCTATATGACCAGACTATAGCTCAATGAATACAAGTCACATAGCCTTCCTCCTCTTCCTCCTCCTCCTCCTCCTCTTCCTCCTTCTTCCTCCTCCTCTCCTCCTCCTCCTTCCTCCTCCTTCCTCCTCCTCCTCCTCCTCTTCCTCCTCTCCTCCTCTTCCAGATGGTCCTGAGGCTTGAACTCAGGATCTGGGTGCTGTCCCTAAGGGTAGCACTTTACCACTTGATCCACAGCTCCACTTCTGGCTTTTTGGTGGTTAATTGGAGATAAGAATCTCATGGACTTTCCTACCCAGGCTGGCTTCTAACCATGATCCTTAGATCTCAGCCACCTGACCAGCTAGGATTCAAGGCATGAGATACTTTCCTCATTTCTTTTTTAAGGGGAATAGGTTCACAAGTTTACCAGCAATCTCTGAAGTCCAACATTTCACTACCATACAGATCTTCTTCCTTTCTTTGGTAGCCTGGTTGATTCCCATGTGGAACCTGTATGATGTTCTGTGGTGATAATACCTACTTTTTAGGAAATTTGGGTTCTCTCTTGCAGAGATTTAATTTTTGCCTTCTATGTAAGGAGAATCCTGGTCATCAGAATTCTTCATTAGCAAACAAAAGGGAAACATTTCTGAAGTCTTGGAGTTTTCTTTGTAAGAAACCCCTGTCTACCCATTCTTCTTAAACCCCTGCTCTGGTTATTGCCAATGTAGGACTTCTGGCTCTGGTTTGAAGCTTTGGGCTTCAGGGACTTTATCTTCTTTTTTAGAGTAACAAGACCACTTTGGGGTTTTGATATTCTTGAAGTGGTTATGGCCCAGGGCAGGCTGGTTGTCAATTTCTTTAAGGGAAGGACTGAGACCCTTCTGATACCTCCTTTAGATGCTCTTTCTTGGGCTGGGTGTGATCCCTCACACCTGAAATCCCAGCTAGTCAGGAGGCTTAAATAAGAAGAACTCAGTCTAGGTCAGCTATGACAAAAATATGAGAACCCTATCTGAAAAATATCTGTAGCAAAAATGGGTGACAGAGTAGCCCACATGGAAAAGTTCCTACCTAGCCTGCACAAAGCCCCAAATTCAAACCTCAGTAACACCACCATAACAAAACACAAACAATAAAGTTTAAAAAGTGCTTTCTCCTGGAGAAGAGTCATTCTGTGCATAATTTCCCACACCTCTTCCCAGTCAGTAATAAATGACTTTCTAGTCCTTCTCTCTCATTTGTAAGTTAAATTTTCCATCTCCATGGCAATTTTTGTTGTTGTTGTTGTCTTCATTTCAGAGTTTGACCTGCAGGTTGAAAATAGAAAAGCAGAAGCCGAAGAGGCCATGAAGAGACTCTCCTACATCAGCCAGAAGGTTGCAGACGCCAGTGACAAGACTGAGCAAGCTGAAGCCGCCCTGGGGAGCGCGGCTGCCGACGCCCAGCGGGCAAAGAGCGCGGCCAGGGAGGCCCTGGAGATCAGCAGCGAGATAGAACAGGTAGAGAGAAACGGAGATGCAGGCTGGCACAAGCAGGACCAATATCAGTGTGGAAGGAGACAGCATTGGACTCACTTTGACCTCTATGACTCTCGGTCCTATTGTCTTCCATGCAGCATCATGGTCATCCTTGGTAGGGCTCTTATGAAGTGCTCCCTTTGGGACAATACCATAAAGAGAGCCATCCATTATTGTTTGTTTGCTCCTTCCTTCCTTCCTTCCTTCCTTCCTTCCTTCCTTCCTTCCTTCCTTCCTTCCCTCCTTCCTTCCTTCCTTCCCTCCTTCCTTCCTTCCTTCCTTCCTTCTTCCTTGTCTTTCTTCCAGTACTGGGGCTTCAACTCTGAGAGTCAGAATACTCTCCCTTAGCTTTTCCGCTTATATTTGACACTCTGTCACTTGTGCTATCCCAGTACTCACAGCTTTTTGGTGGCTAATTGAAGATAAGAGTCTCACAAACTTTTCTGCCCAGGCTGGTTTCAAACTGTAATCCTCAGATCTCAGTCTCCTGAGTAACTTGGATTACAGGAGAAAACTCCCAGTATCAGGCCATGATTGTTTCATATAGAGATTATTTCATTCGTTAGTCTTTCTAAAACAAAATACCACGAAATGGGTGGCTTAACATCAGAAATTATTCTCTTATCATTCTGGAATTTAGAAGCCCAAATCAAAACATCAGCAGGGTTACATTCCCCCCTGAGAGCCCTGTGGGAGAATCTTCCTAGCTTTGCGGGTAACCATTTGAGGTCTGAAATTTCTGATTGGTGGCTCCATCACACTGACCTGTGCTTTAGTCATCTTGTGTTCTCTCTAAAGTCCTGTTTCGTCTTACAAGGACACCAGAAATGCTGGGTTGAGGTTCCACCCTGCTCTAGTATGGCTGAATCATAGCTAATTACATTTTTAACAACTCAATGTCAAGTAAGGTCACATTCTGAGGTATTAAGGATTAAGACATCAGCAGCTCTTTTAAGGAGATACAGTTCAGTCAGTCTGTCACCAACTGTCACCAATATCTTATTCCAGATTATGAAATTCTGGAGTTCTATATTCTTTGTCCAAGTCTTTATTCTGTACCTAGCTTCCAATTCCTCTGTGTGTGGTGTGTGTGTGTGTATGTGTGTGTGTGTGTGTGTATGTATGTGTGTGTGTATGTGTGTGTGTGTGTGTGTGTATACTAGGGCTCGAACTCAAGGCCTGGGCTCTGTCCCTAAGCTTTTTGTTGTTGTTGTTTAGCTCAAGGCAGACACCCTACCACTTGAGCCACGAGTCTACTTTTGGCTTTTTTTCTGATTAATTACAGATAAGAGTCCCAGGGACTTTTCTGTCTGGCCTGACTTCAAGCCATGATCCTCAGATCTCAGAATCCTGAGTAGCTACGATTATAAGCATGAGCCACTAGTGCTCAGCTATCTACTTCCTTAGAGATAAGAAAGGCATACTCTTGGGGGCTGGGAAGGTGGCTCCTTGGTAGAGTGCTTGCCTTGCATGCATGAGGCCCTGGGTTCAATTCCTCATTACCACATAAGCAAAAGAGAAAAAAGCTAAAAGTGGCACTGTGGCTCAAGTGGTAGAGCGCTAGCTTTGAGCTGAAGAGCTGAGGGACAGCACCCAGGCCCAGAGTTCAAGAGTTCAAGCCCCAAAACTGGACATCCCCCCCCCCCAAAAAAAAGGTGTACTCTTGGTTTTCAAAAAGCCTTTAGAATAATAGGGTAGACAGACAAGTTACACTTAACAACCCATATGTTGAATGTTACAGTGGAAGGAATGCTTTTCAGCTGGAAGAAGAAAGCATCTTCGCTCTTAATTCACTATGACTTCTAGAAAATGTATGTGACTCCAGAAAGCCTAGAGAGAAGTCTTGGTTTCTGGATTACTTGGCTTCACTTTTACATAACTCAGTAGCCTCAGAAATGATTTCTAAGTTGGGAGTAGTGGATCCTGCCTGTAATCCTAGCTACTTGGGAGTCTAAAGTTCAAAGTTTAAGGCCAGCTCAGGCAAATTAAGTTTACCAGACCACATCTCAACAGAAAAAACTGAGCATGGTGGCAAAGGCTTGCCGTCCCTGCTATAGCAGGAAGTCTCAAGAGAGTATCATGATCCTGGTCCAGACAAAAAGTAAGACCTTATCTTAAAAATAAGCAAAGAGACTAGAGAGGTGGCCAAGAGGTAGAACACAGGATTTTAGAGGTAGAGTACCTGCCTAGCAAGCAGTTCAAACCCAGTACCACCACCAATGATGATGATGATGATGATGATGATGATGATGATGATGATGATGGTGGTGGTGGTGGTGGTGGTGGTGGTAGTGGTGGTGATAACAGTAATAATAATTCTAAATCACTTAGGGGTAGAGACCAAGTTCATGTATATCTCTCCATAGCTTCTAGCTTAAGATACATGCACAGTGGTGTTTTCTTAGTTTAGCGATTAAAAAATACTGGAGAAGTTTTGTCCTTTACCAAACCAAAAAACTGAGTGTTGTAGCCCATTCATTGTCTACTCTCCACAAATAACTGTCTCAGGGATCCTAGCAAAGTCATTCAAAAATCCTAGGCAGCAGTGGGCCGTGACAGTGTGAGATGTGCATGTCTTTCCTCTGGGATTTCCCACATGGTTCCCCAGTGTGTCCCAAGTTCAGTGAGCATTGAAATGAGAGGCAAGCAGCATCTCAACGCTGACCCTCCCAGGCCCGGGAAACAGACTCCAGCATTAGCTTGTTTGAGGCAGAGCCTGGGGAAGGGCGTGTCTCCAAGTCTGACTCTTCCCTTGTTCATCTCACTGACCCCATCAGGCCTGGCTGCAGCTGTATTTTTTCTGCAATTGTCTTTGAGATGTTTTTGAGCCTCACCCGTCTCTCTCCTTCCGTCCCTGGCTCCTTTTCTTCTCCCAGGAGATAGGGAGTCTGAACTTGGAAGCCAATGTGACAGCAGATGGGGCCTTGGCTATGGAGAAGGGACTGGCCAATCTGAAGAGTGACATAAGGGAGGTAGAAGGAGAGCTGGCGAGGAAGGAGCTGGAGTTTGACGCTGATAAGGACGCAGTGCAGATGGTGAGTAGCTTCTTCTTTCCACCAGCTCCCTCCAAAATTGCTGATATGGAAAATACCTTTTCAGGACAGGTTTGTATTTCATTTTCCTCAGGTGATTACAGAAGCCCAGAGAGTTGAGACCAGAGCCAAGAATGCCGGAATCACAATCCAAGACACGCTCGAGGCATTGGATGGCATCCTACACCTAATAGGTTTGTGGAGCATCCCCTGCCTTTCAGCCCCACCCACAACTGTCTAGCCCCACCCACAACTGTCTAGCCCCACCCACAACTGTCTAGCCCCACCCACAACCTTTCAGCCCCACCTACGACCTTCCAGCAAACTAGAGCTTTGCCCCAGAATCACTCTTCTGAGCTCTGATGCATAGGAATCACAACTCTCCCTAAGAGGTCCAGAAACTTGGTTTGTTCTTTAGCCTAGAAACTATGGGCAGGTTATTTTACATTGTCTAGACTCAATTTTATCATCTCTAAGACAGGTTGCCAAGTACCTATTACCCTTAGAGGTGGAAGCCTGTGGGTCAATGAATTGAGTGTATCTCAGCAACTTCAGAGATGACTGGATAAGCTTGAGTTTAGCCTTGATCCTGAGATCAAGCCACTGGGCAGTTTTAAGCCAGGGGATAGCGTTGGAATGGAGGAAGGTGTGAAGGAGTTACACCGAACCCCTTCCATGAGACCGTGTTAGGATGCTATTGAACATCTAGGTTATGAGAGGACAGCTGCATTAAGGTAGCAGATGTGGAGGAAGATTCTCCTAATCTCAGTACTCAAGATCACCTGATTTTACCGCTCATTCCTCCCCAGTCCAAAATGATACCTCAGTGTTACCAGCTGGGGAACCTTGAGCCGCCTGGGTAGATGACACAGAAGAAATGGGAAGATTGTAGGTCCATGAGAAACCTTGCAAGCTTTCATGATATAAAATAGAATGGGTGGCTTAGTGTGACAGAGATCTGGATTTTCCCCACACAGTCTCACTCCTCAAAGAAAATGGGTTCTAATTAAAATTCTGGATTTAGGTAGAGCTGGGACCAAGCCCCCCACCCCCCATTGGCCTGTTTAACCAACTCGGGCTGCCATAGACGCAGAAGCAGGAATTTGGCCTCACATTCCAGTGACATTCGGGAAAAGCTTTAGCCCTGCTTTCCCAGTTCAGCAGAACAACTTGAAAACTTCATTTTTTTTTTTTTGGTAGAGAATTGTCTTGGCCCTGAGAGTCCAATATTTGTGTTGTCCCTCTAATGGACTCACATTGTGATCCAATGGGTCCTGAAGAGTAAAATACAGAGGCTGAGAAGGTAGCTCAGTGGTAGAGCGCTTGCCTTGCATGCATGAAGCCCTGGGTTCGATTCCTCAGCACCACATAAGCAAAAAGAAAAAAGCTGGAAGTGGCGCTGTGGCTCAAGTGGTAGAGCGCTCGCCTTGATCTGAAGAGCTGAGGGACAGCGCCCAGGCCCAGAGTTCAGGCCCAATGACCGGACACTCCCCCCCCCAAAAAAAAAACGAGTAAAATACACTAAAAATTTTTTTAATTCCTCGGCTGGGATTTTTAGCAGCATAGTTGAGTGTTCTCAAACCAGCAATGAATTGGATGGGGCCAATAAAGGAAAAGGGGAGTGGGAACTGTTAAACATTTACAACATCAGGTAAAATACCACTTAAGTCTTATAAGAGACCTATGAGTTCAGATCACATTGTAAACTGGGAAGGCAGGGTTCAACCTGAGCCTTGTCTCCAATATTCCAGTTCTTTACTAGTGGTTCATACTGCCTCCCCATGGACATGGCTATTTGAATCCTAAGCTTCCTTGACTTACTATGCTTGTTACCCAATGCTAAGCCCTTGAATTCTCCCCTGTCTTCAGTGAAGAATAGATCCATTGGATAGCTGCTTTGGGTGTGATATGATATAGTACTGGAGCCGCTGATGCATTGCTCTAGGTAAAATAAATTCATGCATTCAAATACTACCACTGCAGCTCAGCTGAGGTTGAGTTTGAATTGCTCTAACTTAGTTGAACCAAATGAGTCTGGCCTGTAGCCCTTCATACTGACATTGGCTTTCTATAGTTTAAAAGTGAAACATACCTGGACAGATGCAATTACATTTCACAGTGGAAATAAACTGGTACCTCGCCAGATTCCCACTGTTTCTGAGCCAGAATGAAGTCTTACATCACTTTCTAACAGCTGGAGTCCATCTCCCAAATTGCGAAGCACACCTTGGCCTCTATGAACCCTGAAGCTCAGCCAATCTCCAGCGGTCTTCCAACAGAAACCAGCCAGATCTTTCCTAAGAGTGATTCAGAAAGCATTTTTGGAGTTGATTCTGATCCCAGGGGGGGATGGAGCTTAGCTCCTGATGGGGTGCAGCCTTCTCTTCTCAGAGCATCATCTATTGCCCTTAACACAAAGGGAGCACCCTAAACTTCATATTGCTGACTCATTGAGCTATTAAGCTAAGTCATTCATGGCCCCAGTTCTCAGAAGTTTTTCTATATTATTTCTAATTTAAACTATGGCATGCAATTTGTTCTGGGCAGACAGAAACAAGAATTTATGAAAAGTAGAAGAGGGAATGCATGTTCCAAGAGATCTAACCAAAACTTTGCAATATGTTCACTTTTCTCATTCCGTAATAGACCAGCCTGATAGTGTGAATGAAGAGGGGCTGATGTTATTGGAGCAGGAGCTTTCTCGGGCCAAGACCCATATCAATAGCCAGCTGCGGCCCTTGATGTCAGAGTTGGAAGACAGGTCCCGTCGACAGAGGGGGCAGCTCCATTCGCTGCGGGCAAGCATTGATGGCATTCTGGCTGATGTGAAGAACCTGGAGAACATTAGAGACAACCTGCCTCCGGGCTGCTATAACACCCAAGCTCTTGAGCAACAGTGAAGCTGTCGTAGAGATTCCTCAAAGGAGAGTTTTGGGATACAGACCTCAGGGGTCAGGAGCCATCTCTTCTGGGTACATGAATGGGGGCGGGGGTAACAAGCATGTGAACTCCACTCCATCCCTGAGACTGTGGCTATACGGGTGTGTGACTGCACCAGTTCGGTTCTGTTTGCTTCCTGACGCTGGCAATGAGGCAGACAGCACTGAGTGGGAAACTGACCAAGGACCAACTACACAGGCAGATGTTGGCCACAGAGCAATCATAAACGCAGCTCTGGAACATGGACACGTGCTGCAGGGTTAGTCAGTATATTCTTTTAAGTGGTAAGACTAAGAGAAAAAAAAAATTGACTTTGCCCAGGCATAAAATTCGCTGTCCTGATGTCAGGACAGCGAAAGCCAATTATACCATGGCCAGTAAAATACTGTTGTTGTTTCTTATTGCCCGCTACAAGCTTTCCTTGAGCAGAGCTCTTCCCATTTACCACCCAACACATGTCCCTTGCAAGCTGGACGACAGAGCAGTGTGGACGGAGGGGCTGGAAGGCTGGCCCGTGCGGAACAGTGGTTCTGGGCTTGGGAGCAACACTCTTCCTCCTCATGATGCTGTGGTGACTTAGAGACTGAACTTTCATTAAAGCGTTTCCTACCGACAAAGCCAACACTGGAAAAGTATTTACTCTAGGATTTCAAAAGGATAGGGGAAAAACATGTGACTTGGGCACTGAAAGATGTACAATTATCTAGATTTAATAAGCCTAACTCAGTCCCCCCTTTTACATGCTGAAACCTATGGGCATTTGGTTATTTTCTCTTACTCTCTTTCTTCCCCTTGTAGCAGGGGAAATCCATCCTTCCAACAGATATTTATTGACTCCCTACTGTGTGCCAGGGGTGAGCAGTTCAGTACGGAAATAGTCTCCTCTGTCCTCATAGCGCTCATCGTCTAGTGAGGAGGACACACATTAATATAATAAATTTCAGCTTACAAACCTCGTTCATCACAAGTGGTATTTATTGCAGTCACCCCCCGGGGGATTTTCAGCCTCTTTGCTCCACACAGAATCTGTGTTATGAAACATTTCCATGGGGTACTTGAGTTGGGGCTGAAATAACCCTGGGCTATGCACATTTCCGTGCATTCCAGCCATTGCTCCTCCCCTTCCCACAAGCCACTGCCACAGGCTGAGTCATGGTGACCCCAGTGGGAATTGCTGAAGGAACCAGAAGCACTTCCATTCCAGCCTGGGAGACATCTGTGCTGCCCTGCTTCTGTACGTCCTTGCCTTTTCATAGATGTGTGTTAAAATAAAGAACAACTAGTAGATGCTGGGGGAATGGGAGAGGGGGAAGGTCACCTTCTGATTTTATTAAATTCTAAGCCTGAGTTGGAAGTAATAGAACAATGGGAATGATAGACCATTGAAATGTTAGCAAGTCCTCAATCTTCAGTTCCTGTTTATGAGAATCTTCTTTTTTTTGGAGGGGGGGGGGTCCTTTCTAACCAGGAGGACAGTTCCAGGGATGTGGCCAGGGCTGTATCCTAAGTATGAAAACAGTTTATTTCTAGAACAATCCAAGTTGGGGGGAGGAGATATAATTAGTATTCTTGTCTTTGTATTTTTCTTTCTAGTTGGTGGTGCATATGTCATGCTTTTCAATAAATTAGAAATTCAGTAACTTAAGGCCCGTCTATCTAGGTGACTAAAGGAAGGATTCTGCTTTTGTCTAGATTGACTTTTCAAAATCTTGATCGTTCTGAAAATTTTGTCTTTTGTGGAAATGCCTTTATAATCCTGCCTTCGCATGCTCATACATCCTACACATTTTTTATACTGAATGTTCAGAAGTGTGTGTATATGAGTAGATTGTTACATCACAAAGACCTAGAAATGGGCAAGAACTTAAAAATATTGGACTGAGTTCTTTTTATTGGTTCCATACTAGATTAGGTATGGAACAGATTGGCAGGCTCTCCACAGTCATTTCAGAGGTCCTATCACTTATGTGACTGCTAAGGTTGTCTGTGGAGGGAGGAGAAAGAAGAAGTTGGAGGAGGGAAGCATGTGGGAAGTCTTTGTGGGCCGGCACTGAGAGGAGTCACATTCTACTCTATGTGTCTGCTGGGCTCTGGGTACTCATGCCTATAATCATAGGTACTCAGGAAACTGAGATCTAAGTCTCATAGAAAGTCCATGAGACTCTTATCTCCAATTAACCACCAAAAAGCCAGAAGTGGCTCCAGTGGTAGAGTGCTAGCCTTGAGTAAGGGACAGAGCCCAGGCCCTGAATATAAGCCCAAAGACTGGTGTATCTATACACACACACACACACACACACACACACACACACACACACACACACACACACACATTCCATGTGTCCAAAAACCAGTATCATGGCCATATCTGACTTATAAGCAGTCCTAGAAAATGTGGTCACTTGGTAGAGGTCCATTTCCCAGCTACAGTTCTACCATATGTAAGGGGAGAGGGCATGCTTGCTGACTGGTCATCTGGTTCTATTAACAAGAAAAATTAGATAAGACACATTCTAGGTGGTCTGGGGAGGGATCTGGTTAGTTAATGGCCAAGGGACATGAAATCATAATGAATTCCTCAGTGGGATGGATTAAGAAAGTCATAAGAATGTCTTCCCTGACAAATGGAGTAAGACTCCTGACTAAAGACAGGAATGAGAACTTAAGTGTTGGGACTCCTTTGGTAGAGATGTTATGTTCTCATTTCTGAGAAGCTGACAAGTTGATCCAAGAAGGAAGAAAGAAAAAGGGAGTGGCTCAGAGTTAGTTTACCCCAAGTCCTAGCCTCTGGTTGCCAGTGGTTAGTTGGATTTTTCATTACTGTGACAAATATCTGAGAGAACAACTTAGCAAGGGCAATGATTTATTTTGGCTCCAGTTTCAGAGGCTTCTGTATGGTCAGCTGGCTCAGATGCTTCTAAAACTGTGGCAAAGCAAAATCATCATGCAGGGAGCACATGGCCAGGCAAAGTTCCTCACCTCATGGTGGCCAGGAATAGAGAAAGAAAGACAGATAGGGAAGGGCCAGGGAAAGCTAAATCCTTCAAAGACATGTTCCTAGGGGCCTACTTCGTCCAATCAGGCCCTACTTCCTAATAGCCCAGTCAGTATGAATTCACCAATGGATTAACCCAGGAATGAAGTCAGCACCTTCATAAGCCACTGGTCACTCGGTAGCCACACCAGCTGGTGAACAAGCACTCAATACACGAGTTCAGTGGGAACACTTCATATTCAAGGCATACCACCAACCACATTAAGGGGGCTTTCTGTTTATAAGTAATTTGTAGTGAAAACTTTGTTTGGGGGCTGGGAAGGTTGCTCAGTGGTAGAGCGCTTGCCTTGCATGCCTGAGGCCCTGGGTTCCATTCCTCAGCACCACATAAACAAAAAGCAAAAAGCCAGAAGTGGTGTTGTGGCTCAAGTGGTAGAGTGCTAGCCTTGAGCTGAAGAGCTGAGGGACAGCGCCCAAGCCCAGAGTACAGGCCCCACGATGGGACCCAAAACAAAAAAACAAAAACAAAAACAAAACTTTGTTTCTCTTCTGAGAGTTTTTGATTAACTGTGCTGTGGGTAAGCTATCACACACATCATCATCTACTTCCACTTGTAAATGAGAGATGGGTAGGAATAAAACTTTCTATAGACTGAAACTTCTTAGCAGATGTACTTCTGATCTCAATCCAGGATATTCTTTTTCCCACTGCTCTTGGGAGGTTGGAGGAAAGAGGAAGATGATACTCAGGACTGTTCAATGTTTGGAACAAGTGTCAAGGACCAGGAATATGTTTACCATGTCTTCTTCTAATGTTTTGCATGGCCCTGGGAAAGTTATACATTCTTGCTGAGGTTTTGTTTTCCTACTTGAGACATGCAATGTAGAATCTTGCTTGACTTTCTTTTTACTAATTGGCCACAAGGAGTGTCTTAGGAACTTGAAGCTTCTTTCTGGATCATAAGGAAAGGAAGGCATACGTATATGAATGTCAATTCATAATTAGTACATATATTTTGATACTGTGAGTTAGCAAATTAAGCTAATGTTTATACTCAATCTTTTAAACACACACTCATCACTACATACTCTTGGGACAGAAAAAAATGTAGTGTTTAGCTTTGTGAACAAAAACAACAAATATAAACACAAGTAATCAGTTTACAAGGTATATCAAGCATCATTATGGTGTGCCATAAAGCCACATGGAGACACACAAACTGGCTAATCTCAATTCAAGGAAAAAAATTACAACCCTGGATTCAACAAGGTTAGAGCTGGCCTAGAGCTTTAAAAGGTTAGAGCTGGCCTAAGCGAGGTACTATGACACAAGCCTGTAATCACAGGTACGTAAGAGGCAGAGATTAGGACAACTGTGGTTTGATGCCAGCCAGGAAAACTGTCTGCAAGATCTTATCTCAAAGAACAAGACAAGAGTGGTGGTCCAAATCCATCACCCCAGCCATTTAGAGGCCATAGTGGGAGGTTCATGGTCAGAGGCTACAACAAGCAAAATCATGTGACCTTTCTTGAAAAAATAACTAAAGCAAAAAAGGGTTTGGGCCTTGGCTAGAAAGGTCAAGTTCAAACCCCAGTACTGAAAGAAAGAAAAAGGAAGGAAGGAAGGAAAGAGAAAAGGGAGACAGGAAGGAAGGAAGAAAGAAAATAGGAAGAGCTAGCCTAATAGGGGATTGCTATTTTCCTTCTAAATCAGGAGGCCCATTATCACTAAAGATGAAATAAGAAGTAATCATCACAGCAGGATTCCACAATTACAACAATTAACACATGATTAACTTTAGCTTGTTTACATTGCCAGAACAAATTGTGAGTTTTATCATTTTGGTCATTGTTAAGATCTTTCATGCCAAAAGTTTACTTATTCAAGGTTTTAATTTTCTCAAGCATATTTTTATTTTATGAAGTACTAATTTCGTCCATGAGCCAGAGTTAGCCAACATGGAAGTGATGTGAACTAGTCAGAACCTAAGATGTAATTTTCTTAAACTGAAAAGCTTGGGCACAATTTGTACCATTGTTAATTATTCTGCCTCTTATACTCCTTAGGTAGGGTTGTATATATTTTTGTTTGTTTCCACACAAGTTCTGGCGTATATCCTAAGTGTGCCTCAAACTTAAGATCCTCCTGCCTCAGTCTCCCAACTGCTGGGACTACAGTCTTGTACCACCACGCCTGGCTGTATATACTGTTATATCACACATGACATCAGCTTGACCAGGCAGAAATAAAAATCTATTCTAAGCACATTTTTACCATGTTGTCTCCTGTCAAAGTAAGATTAGGAAGAAAAACTGATTACTTCCCACAGCCTATTGTTCTAGACAAACACACAAGACTCTAGCATTGTCTTTTTATTAACATAATTGAAACATTTTGCTGATAAAACTCTCATCCTTGACTATTCTAGCAACAAAATTTTACTCAAAATATTTCACCATGAAATGGTAACTTGAATATGGGGGTTTTAAATTAACAAATTGATTTCCAGAAAGTAAATCTTATTTTTCAAATGTAGATCATATGACCAAAAAGTGACTCAAAAAAAAAAAAAAAGCTTCCTTCTCTCCCTACCAATTTTCAAGACCATGCTGAACTCAACTGAAGCTGGAAAGAGTTGTAACTCACTCCTCACTAACTGGAACAGACTAACAGGACACTCCAAACTCATACTACAAAAGAAACCCCAGAAAGAGCTGCGTCTTCTGGGCAGTTATGGGAAAATGTAGACTGGATGAATTCAGCATCACTTACTAACCATCATTATCATAATGCTAGTTCTAAAGAGTCCTGAATATATAAGTTACAACCAGTCCCTGTTTCCATCCCTCCCATCTCTCCTGTAACCTCTCCTGGTATAACCTTAGGAGAGATGCTGAGCTTTTCATAGTCTCCTGTTTGATTTCTGCATTACCTTTTTTTTTTTTTTGGTTGGTCCTGAGGCTTGAACTCTGGACTTGAGTGCTATCCCTAAGCTCCTTGTACTCAAAACTAGCACTCTACCACTTGAGCCACAGCTCCATTTCTGGCTTTTTCTGTGATTTAATTGGAGCTAAGAGTCTCCACAGACTTTCCTGCCCAGGCTGGCTTTGAACTGAGATCCTCAGATCTCAGCCTCCTGACTAGCTAGGAATATAGGCATGAGCCACCAGCGCCCAGCTTACACTACTTTCTTAATGAAAAAAATATATATACAGAATGACATGCTTCACTCTCTTAGTCCCCCCACAAAAAAGAGAGAGTGAGTAAGCAAGCAAGAGAGAGAGAGACAAAGAGAGAGACAGAGAGAGGGAAAGACAAAGACACAGAGAGTTTGGGGAGTTAAGATTTGGACTTTCTATTAATTCTCTTGCCTTTTGCTGTAGTTTGGTGATTGAGTCATTCAGCCGACTTAATTGGAACAGCAAGTTCTTCCATTCTTTCTGAGAAACTGAAGCATGAGACTAGAACACATACAGAAAAGGCTGGTCAAGCTGACACAGAAAGGCCTGTGTCTCTAGATGTTCTAGCTCTGGTTTCAGGCACTTCACTAAGAGACTTTCCTCCCTGGTCCCACATAGGTTATTCAAGGCAAATGAAAACAGCAGGCCGGGGGGGTGGGCTGTGTGTGCTGTGTGGTCCTGAGGTGACTGCCAGCAGCGCAGAGCACCCGGGGGAATGGTCCTGGAGGGAAGGTTGTGCACACAGTTCTCCTCCTGCGTGTTTTTACATCTGTGACTCTCAGAAAAATGGGAGGGACCTTCTTGTTAAGTTAGCAGCAGGAAATGGGTGTCCAGACTCCTTTGGACAGGATTATTCCAACCCCTGCCTTGGTCACCATCTCCGAGCCAATCTTGGGCTGGCCTCCATAGGAAGCAATAGAACCCCAGAGAGAAGTCAGGTTATCCTGGTGGTACCTGGGACCCAGATAAAACTCTGATCCATGTCTTTAGGTATTGGCCGTGACTGGTCACTCCCAGTGTCCTTCCCTGGACTAGAAGAGGTGCTCTGATCTTGCTCCATCAAAGGAAGAAAGGTGCAGGGTGGGAATGGAATGGTTGATGGTACCTGGAAAGGAATTTGCTTTCCTGTTATTAAAGGAAAGCCTTTATTTATTTATTTATTTATTTATATTTTTTGGTGCCAGTCCTGGGGCTTGAATTCAGGACCTGGCATTTTTGCTCAAAGCTAGCGTTCTACCACTCAAGCCACAGTGCCACTACCAGCTTTTTTGGTGTTTCATTGGAGATAAGAGTCTCATGGACTTTCTTGTCCAGGCTGGCTTCAAACCACAATCCTCAGATCTTAGCCTCCTGAGTAGCTAGGATTACAGGTGTCAGTTACCCAGAACCAGGCAGGAAAGCCATTTTTAATAGAGTCTGTCCCTGTGATTCACCGATTTATAATTTGCCCCATCTCATTCTCATGCACTTGGACTGCACCTGTTCTTTTCCTTAGTTTATCTTGCTCCTCAGCCCTCCCCCATGCCTTCTGCCCTTATGAGATACACAGCCAACCTGGTTCCAGGTTATGGACCAAATGGGGGTTGACCTGAGTCTTGTAGAGTAACACAGTGGACCAGAGATCCATGAACTCTGTTCATAAACTCTAGATCCCTCAGATGCCAGGTTTCACCAGGAAATTCAGCTCCCTGTTTCCCTTTGCTCCCTCATATCAGATACTATACTTCCTTAACCTGGGCCAGCCATTTAGCCATTTAATCCTGTGGATCTCTGCTTCTTTGCTTTTAAAGTACGGCATCAAGGCAACTGAGCTCTCAATCTCTTTAACCCATGAACCTTAGCCAAACACTGTGACCCAAGACTAAGTCCTTCTATTCGTCTTCTAAAGAGTATTTCAATTATCTAAGACAATACACCACTTCGGGGAGATTAGTGTGCCAACCTCATCTCCTGACTCCACTTCTTGTTCCTCTTCCTGGAGACAACCACAGGCGGTTGCCCGTGTGAAATGTGTGGTAAAGTATGCCGCCCCTAGGGGGAAGCTGGGGGTGGGGGAGAGATGAAGGAAAGGGTGGCATTGTCCTAAGGAGACATGGATGCATTACCTGAATTGTAAAATGGTAACTTCTCTGTACAACAATAAAATTATATATTTTAAAAAAAGGAATGCAGTCCTTTGTCTAGGGTCCCATCTGGCCCATAGCTCCCATTTGATTTTTTTTTTTAAAGTATCAGTACTTAGACACCTGAACAACCAGAAACACAAGAGCCATAAAACAAAGGGTAATTTCCTGTTAGCTCTCCAAGCAGAACATGAGTTAGGCATTAACAACTAAGACAGAATCTACCAAAACTGTCTCTAGAGGCTGCAAGAAGGGTAAGAAATGAGGGCAAGATGAGGTGAAACAGCGGTACCCTCTCAGGAGGATCCTGCCGGGCAGCCCTCTGCAGGACCTGCGCCCAGGCCTGGCCAGGAGAGCAGCAGCTTCCGAAGAAGGAATGGGCCCCAGCCCTGGCCTGGGTAACCTCAGGCTAACACCGGGATTCCTTCCTATCCTGGAAAGCTCCCAGGACAGACAGTTCTCAGCCAAATGGGCAAGAAACAATTCCAATTAGTGAAGATCTCTAGAGTAAATTCCTGGCATATTTTTTAAAAAAAGAAATGGCTGGATTATGGGGATTTGACCTTGCCTATTTGATTCTTCTCAGGTGTAAGAGCATGTCTATGCACGAGTTCCAAGGCATTAGATACCTTGGAAATGTCTGGACCAGCAGAGGATTCGCAGGGTGCCTTTGGCACAGACGTACACGAGTGTGTGGACGTCACCGGGGAAGGAGCACAGGCTGGCTCGATGTCACAGGAACAGAGCATCTGCCACTGGGGGAACGGTCTGAGATTCTGAGAAACCTCCTCTCCCAAGACTTGCCTTCCAGTCATCAGAACCTGACAGTCTCATTCCTGACCAAAGGCTGCTGCTGCTGCTGCTGCGTGTGTGTGTATGTGTGTGTGTGTGTGTACATGGAGGTGGCTCTCCTGGGTGTGGTTCTCACATACTTCCTGAGTGCAGAGGCTGGCTATGGTGTCCTACTGGAAGGAAAGTAATACCACAGGAGTGCATCAATACTACAAACAAAAACAGACATCAATTTCATCCAAGTCCCACAAGAGGTGAATAACAACAACAACAACAACAACAAAAATAGGTAAATGAGTAAAGAAAGAAAAATAAGCCCTTTGTGGTAAAGGGCATGCTGGGAAGGCGAGAGCCAGAGCCGCCTCCCCAGAGCATGCTGGGAGGATGGGCACCAGAGCCGCCTCTCGAGAAGCATGCTGGGAGACAGACACCAGTACATCTCCAAGGACTGGGATCCCCCCAACTCCCGCCCCAACTCCCTCCCCCACCCCCACCCCGGAGACCAGAGGAAAGTCTGTCCAAAGATGACTGGAATAGGGAACTCCACGGTTCTCTGCAGGTCCCCCACACTGTGGGGGTTCAGTCAGCCAGTGGGAAGAATGGTCAGAATGAGGAGATGGAGAAACAGAGGCAGGAGAGAGGCTGACAGAGACTGGAGGGGCCAGTGAGTTGCGTTGGCAGAGGACGAGGGGAGGGTGGCACAGGCTGGCTGAGTGGCTGCTAGCCAGAGGCGTTGATGTATAGCTGGCTCTTGAGGATGTAGTCAATGACGGGCTGAGACAGGTAATCCACCACATGGCCGTCCCCGTGCTGCAAGGCCAGCCTGCAGGAGAAGAGAGAGAGAGCACCATTAGATGACAGGCAGAGGTTGACTCTTGTCTTAACAACACTCCCTGCCAGCCTTTGTGCTGGCTTTGAGGAAATGGTATTGATATTAGAGAAAGCCCTCTGGCCTCCATAAAACATCTTACACCCTGGGGCCGCTTCTAGCTGAGAGACTTTGGGAAAGTCTCTCTCTTCTTCAGTTTTCTCTTCTGGAAAACCAAAGGTAATGTGGAAGCCCATCACAATCAATCATTGAAAGCATGAAAGGAGTCATTATTCAAAGCTCTTAAAATAGTGTCAAGCCCGGAGTCCCATTTTTAATGTGTTGGCTGTTGTTTTTTTTAAATAGACTGGGTATGTAGATTTCAGGTATATTTATTTTTATTCCTTTGACTCTTGGCACCAGATCTCATGCTCATCAACCTCCCAGACCACTCTTCTGATTGGCTGTGTCTTTTCTTTCTTGTAGGAAGAGGCTTGGGGTGGGGAGGGGAGGAGGCACCAACAAGTATGAAGGACTGTGGTTTCTGTGTAATTTTGTAAAGTTTTTGGCTGGCTGCGTCTTGTTTTTCCCTCACCTGGTAGTTGTGGGGCTGTTACACTTGAAGAGCTGTTTGTAAAATTCATACAGCAAGGTTTTGCTATGTAGCCCAGCCTACATAGCAAAAAAGATGGCTTTGAATTCCTAACCTTCCTACCTCAGCCTCTCCAGGGCTGCGTCATTAACTGAAAGACAGAGCCTCTTGTCTTGGGCTTTGCTTTGCCTTTTCCCACCAAAAAATAGACCTTGTGGAAGCTGTGAACTCAGAACCAGAAGCTTCAGATTGAAGAGATCAGAGATTCAATTCCTTTGTACTTCTGTAGGAGGGAACTAAATATCCACCTCTCAATATCAAAGACTTTTTTGTTGTAACAGTTAGCCCATACTCTTACTAATGCATTACTGTATAAGAACCTCAAGCTATGAATCCACACTAAAATCACCCTCTTCTCCACTCAAACTAGCTAAGACTAGTTAAGGTACTGTTTCTGTGTCTCTCTGTCTCTTTGTGTCTCTCTGTCTCTGTCTCTCTGTCTCTCTGTCTCTGTCTCTCTGTCTCTGTCTCTCTGTCTCTGTCTCTCTGTCTCTCTGTCTCTGTCTCTCTGTCTCTGTCTCTCTGTCTCTGTCTCTGTCTCTCTCTCTTCTCTCTCTCTTTCTTGGCTTCAACTCAAGGCCTAGGTGCTGTCCCTGAACTTTTTTGATCAAAGCTAGTGTGCTACCACTTGAGCCACAGTTCCACTTCTGCTTTTTGTGGTTAATTGGAGATAAGAATCTCACAGACTTTACTGCCTGGCTTTGAGCTGCAGTCCTCAGATCTCAGCTTCCTGAGCAGCTAGGATTACAAGTGTGAGCCACCGGCACCTGGCTTTACTGTCTTCTCTTTTTTTTTAAGTCATTGGCAACAAATAAGGCACTAATAGGATGCTGTGCACCAGGGCAGCAAATGTCCACCTGAGTATAAGGGTGACCTCTAACTTAAGAAAGCAGTATGGGAAGTTGTAAGGCAGCGTCTTACAAAGACACCGACCACAGTGTCTTTGACCATTTGTCAAACATACCTGCTCTTGGTTGAGCTGACCACAGACATGGGATGGTTGATGTCATCCTTCACCACCATGATGTTGTTCTAAGGACAGAGCAGAAAGAGTAGGTTGCCAGCCCCTTGCACCCAAACCCTTCTGCTTCCTCATTCTTCCAGCACCCCAGGACTTTAAGACAAGATATATGTCACACAGAAATATTCCCTCGGGGCGGTTGCGGACTCACTTTGTACTTGCGGAGTATTGAGGAGTGATTCATGATTCGGTCTGTGTCAGCTGCGTCCCGGGGAACCACCACAATCCCAAAGTCCCCAACAATCACCTCCATCTGGACAGGGAGACACAGAAAGGGTGACGCAGCTTTGGTGAAACCTACGGCCTTTACCCTCTACCAAGAATTCGGCAGGGCAGAGCTATCATCCATTCTACCAGGGGAATGCTTCATTCAGTCTCCAACTTGCTTCTTCTACCATTAGCCAGCAACCTTAATAACCAGTATTAGTGTTAGTAAAATGAATGAGCACCTTGCCTGGCACACTAGGCCTGTGGACTGAATGAAGGCACTCTTGCATGTCTGAGCAAGACTGCTCCTGAGGCTCCTGTGGAGTTTGTCAGGCTGCCGAACAGCATGGAGGACAATCCTTACCTGGTAAACATCCTCCTGGGTGAGACAGATCTCACTATCCAGTCAGCACACCTCAGCCCTCAGTTGATGTGATGAGTCTATCATATGACCCACCCACACGAAAGCCATAGCGGAGAAGCGTTTGGAATGTACCACTGTGTGTCCACTGGCTTGGTGACGGTCATTGGGGTGGGTCACTTTAGAGATCAGCCTTAAATGGAGGCTTGGCGCTTTCATGAGAATAAAACCTTCTTGTCATTGAAAAAAATATCATTTTATTTACTTTTTTCTGATTGTGGATGCGGCAAAAGTTGGAAGATGCAGGGGAGAAATAGAAATCAACTCCAGCTTTAAGACAATCCGAGTAACCACAGTTAAATGTTAAGTGTATTTCTCTCCAGTGTTTTCTTCTGTGCAAGTAGTATATGTAGATATCTACACTGGGGCTAAACTGCAAAAGTAGGGCTAGGGTGTAGCTCAGTGGCAGAGCATTTCCTCGCATGCATGCAGCCCTGGGTTCAATCCCCAGCACTGCCACACACACACACACACACTCTCTCTCTCTCTCTCCTGCCTAAGCAATACTTTTACTTGAATTGAGCAGTTTCTCACATCATTACAAAATTGTCTTTAAAACATAAGAACATAAGTTGTAATCTATCCAGTTCATTGTTTGCTATATTAAGCTAGTACTATATTAAGCTAGGAAATACACATGTCTGAATTTTTACAGTTGTACGTAATTCTTTACTGAAGACCTGTTCACAAAAATCTTTTGCCACAATTCTCTGATTATTTCCTTAGGATAAAAAGTAAAACAATAGCCAGGTGCCTATGGCTCACACCTGTAATCCTAGCTACTCAGGAGGCTGAGACCTGATGATCCACGTTTGAAGCCAGCCTGGGCAGGAAAGTCTTTGAGACTCTTGTCTCCAAGTAGCCAGCAAAAAGCCAGTAGTGGAGCTGTGGCTCAAATGGTAGAATATCATCCTTAAGTGAAAAAGCTAAGAAATGGTACACCAATACCAGTATAAAATAAAAAAGATAAATGATATGAACTACACATATTTCAAGCTGCTAAGACACATTACCAAGTTGTTTTTTGGAAATGTGTGCCAATTTTTATTTTCAAAGAGCCCACAATTTATGGCATTTAATAGACTTAGATCTAGCCTTGGAGCTAGGATTACCCTTGCGATCTTTTGAATTATGGATCCCAGATGAGGGAAAGGAAGGGGAGTGGCGGCTTCTAAGTGTAGCTCATTGAATAAGATCTGATTTAGAGGCAATGGACTCAGAATTTTCTCCATAATTCTCCAAATACATATTACAGAAACAGCATTGTGGCTCATTCTCCTCTACTAGAAGATTCCATCTCAGCAGAATTCCATTCCAAAGCCCAATTCACCCAGGGATGGACATGTATGCACTTCCTCAGATTTTTTTCCATCCACCATGATTCTAGTTTCCTTATTGTGTTCAACTGGAGCTATACTTGTAACTGGAACTCTGATGGTGTTGGAATATAAAGTTGGTCTTGAGTGTCCTAGAGGGAAAACTTGTGGAGGGAAATTACAAGCTAGATATAGAATAGCAGAGCCCCCATTAGATTGTACCATTTGGTAACAAACAAGACATTATACAATATGTTGTGTCTATCAGTGGTGTTCACACCAGGTAAGTTAGTATCAAGACTTTGGTCCTATAGATTATGAATGTTAGGGAGAGGTAGGGCAGGAGCCAAAAACTCCTCTTGCCATAGCTTTTAGAAGATTGCACTGGAGTTCACTGCTCAGGAACTGATTCTCAATGTTTGCTGTACATTATAATCATCTCACAGTGTACACCTGATGTTAATGAGTAAACCAGAATCTTGGGATAGAATCCAGATATTAATACCTTATCTGTTATTCTACAGGTGATTGCAATATGCAACACAGTTTGAGAGTAAGTGTCTATAAAAAGAATTAAAACTCTGGACCAAATGGCATGGCAGAGAAAGAGACAAAAAAAGAAAAAGAAAAAGGAAATGAAGAGAGAGAGAGTGGGACCAAGAGGGAAGAAGGAAGAGAGGATTCACTCAAGCAAGTGTGCATGGAAATTCCTAAAGTGCTTAGTTTTGCAGCTGCTTCAAAGTAGCCTGGTGTGGATGGCATTGCGTAGGATCTGCCTCCTTCTTGACTCAGAGAGCGTGATACATCCCTTACTGATGCTTTATTTGTGATGTGAGTGATAGCGGAACTCTCTAAGTGAGCATTCTAGTTTAAAGCATGAAATAATGGTCCAGAGTGGCAGTCAGTCTTCACAAGGGAATTACCCTGTGGGTGACATTGGTCCAATGGCTGCTCTCCATTTCCAACTGACTATCAACCCATGGGTGACTGTGCCGGGCTGTTCAGTGAGTGGCAAGCAGAGGGAGATCTTGCTGCCTGAAACAGATCCCTCTTTAGAAACAGATGTTAGACTTGCCCTTGGAAATAACAGATGGGGTGAGATCCCATAAGACCAGGCCTGTTGCTTCACAAGTATGGCTGCAGGGCTTCCTTCCACCTAAGACTGTGCTCTCTCTGTTCTTTGGGCCATACCTAGCATATGGGTTTGAGTTTCAGCCAGAGAGAGTACTGATAAGGGGAGTATTAGGTGCTTCAGTAGATGAAGTGTGCATCAATACGCATCTGTACCCATCAGTACCCCTCTAGGGCTTGGTTACCATCACACTCCCAACTCTTTCCTAGTATTCTTCTACTTGTCTGGCTGCTCCCTTTTGGTCTCCCTTAGGTTGACCTCTCTGACCTTGACTCATTGGAGTCTACCAAGCTTCAGTCCGTGGATCTCTTTCCTTTTCTGTCTGTACTCACACTTTCAATGATTTCATTTGAAAGACCTGCCAGGTAGGCACTGGTGGTTCTTGCCTGTAATCCTAGCTACTGAGGAGCCTGAGACCTGAGGATCATGGTTCAAAGCCAGCTCAAGCAGAAAAGTCTGTGAGCTTTTGTTCTCCAATGAACTTCCAAAAAAGCTAGAAGTAGAGCTGTGGTTCAAGGGGTAGAACACTAATATTGTACACAACAGCACAGAGACAGCGCCCAGGCCCCGAGTTCAAGCTCCAAGAAACACACACACACACACACACACACACACACACGGTATATCAAAGGGTCTCAAATTAACATCTCCAACCTAGGCCTTTTTCCTAAAATTGGATGGGGCATCTTCAACTTACCCTGTCCATGAATCTTTAGACCTGTTTACATAGCTAAATTTATTAGCCTCCCCAAAGAAATGCTTTCCTTTCATTTCTTATAATTACTCACAGCAAAACCATTGGCATTTTCCTCTCCTTGTCTCATATCCTACATTCAGCTTAATAAAAACAGTTAATTCTAGCTTCAATATAATATGTATTCATTTCTTACCTCTATCTTGGGCTACTAAGTCTCCCATGGTAACTAAATAATGACGCTAAAGATACTCAGGCCGTAACTCCTGGAGCATATGACTATTACCTTACATGGAAAAATAAATGTGATTCAACTAAGGATTTAAATATTGCCTTACATTATCTGGACTGGATTTAAATGCAGTAATGTGCTTATCAGGGAAACATAAAGCTGGGCGCCAGAGGCTCACACCTGTAATCCTAGCTACTCAGGAGGCTGAGATCTGAGTATCGCGGTTCAAAGCCAGCCCGGGCAGGAAAGTCTGAGAAACTCTTATCTACAATAAAAACCACCAGAAAACTGGAATTGGCACTGTGGCTCAAGTGGTAAAGCGCTCACCTTAAGCTGAATTGTTGAGGAACAGTGCCCAGGCCCAGAGTTTAAGCCCCAACAAAAATAAAACAAAACATATATAGATAGAGAGAGAGAGAGAAAGAGGGAAACAGAGAGGACTTTGACATAAAAGGGAGAAGATGGTAATGTAATAGAGCAGAGAGAAGTTTGTAGATACTACACTGTTGGCTTCAAAGATGGACAAAAGGACCCCAAATTCACAAATGCAGCAAATATCCCTCACATATTTGGAAAAGTCATGTAAACAAATCCTTCCTAGAGTCTCTGAAGGAAAGATGCCCTGGCCAGTACCAGATTTTGGACCGGAAAAGCCTATTTCAGACTTCCAGCTTCCAGAACTGTAAGAGAATAAACATGTTTTGTTTTAAACCAGCACATTTGCAACCACAGAACATTAATTCATCTCTACCACTTCTCACTGGGATTGTTCTGGTCTTTGTCATTCTCTTCTTTTTTTTTTTTTCCCAGTCTGTTTCCAACATCCAGATTGATATTGTCAAAATATAAGTCAATTTTTGTTGCTCTTTGGCTCCAATTCCTTCATTTAAATGTTACCTGTTTTGTGAAAACATTCTCCATAATGCTATTTTAAACTTGTATCCTTGGTGAACTTGCACCATTGGCCTAAATTCTCTGGGAGTTGCATTTCAACCTTTCTGGATCTCTGAGCAGCATTAAGGTGGTTGGCAAAAACCAGAACCAAGAAGAAAGTGCTCCCTCATTTCCTCTTTTTTTTTTTTTTAAAGTAAACAGAGTAAAAAGAAGGCATGAAAGTAGGGAAAGGGAGAAGTGCTCCTCCATCTACTTCTTGTTTTCTAGTGGTTTATTGAAGATAAGAGTCTCATGGACTTTCCTTGCCTGGGCTGGCTTTGAACCGTGATCCTCAGATCTCAGCTTCCTCAGTGGCTA